CCCTAACCCTAACCCTAACCCTAACCCTAACCCTAACCCTAACCCTAACCCTAACCCTAACCCTAACCCTAACCCTAACCCTAACCCTAACCCTAACCCTAACCCTAACCCTAACCCTAACCCTAAGTTTATTATTCTTAGGATATTTATTAATATATTTAGTTTAAAAATATTAATATTTTTATTAAAAAATATTAAGTCGTAGTATAAGTAATTAAAAGGGGGGAAAAAACGTAGAGCTATTAAGTTTTTAAAAAGGAGGAAAATATAATTAATATATAGTTCTTTAATTAAAAAGGTACCGTTTTTATATAACTTATATAAGGTAGTAAAAATAAATATTATTAATAGGATTTTAATTAAAGAGAATTTTAAAATAATAAAGGCTTTAAAATAGATTTATAAGGGAAAAACTAAAGAGGAGGTAATAGAGTTACTATTATTAACTTTTATAAAAAGGATTAAAATAGGGGATATTATTAAAATTAAATAAATAAAGGTTTCTAAGCGTTAAGGTCTTTTAATCGCTAATATTAATTAGAAGCGATTAAAACCTTAAGCCGTTAAAGTAGGCTATAGGTCTTTTAATTGCTAATATCGATCAAAAGCGATTAAAACCTTAGGGCGCTAAAATAAGCTATAGTTTATTTTTTATTATTATTAATTCTAAATAATTATAATTTTAAAATTTTAAATTAATACTAACTTTTTATATATAATTAAATATTTAATTTAATATTAATTTAAATTATATAAAAATTATTTTTTAATTTTTAATTTTTTTTGACTTTTATAAATTAATTTTTCTTTTTTTTTCTTAAAACCTAACCCTTTGGGTCTTAATTGATATACTACGGCGAATTAATGTATTTTATAAATAGTAACTAAGTACTCTTTATTAAATATAAACGGTTCTATTATATATAAAAATCCTATAGAAATATATAGCCTATTATATAATAATCGTAAGATAATACGATAATAAATAATATAAATCTTTAAAAATAATAAGCTATATTAATTATAATTAAAATTAAATACTATTAAGCGGGTAATTATCTTAGCTACGGCATTATATTAAACGTTAAAACTATTACTTTTCTTAATTATAATAGTAAGCGTTATTTAGTCTATAATACGTTAAGCCCGCACCCTATTGCAAAACCATAGCAATCTTAACTATTATTTTATAATAATAACTTAAAAAATAAATACTTATAACGTTATAAACGTTATAAGTTGATTAAAATAAATCGATATATATTAATTTCGTACTATTTACTCCGGAAAACGTTTATTAACTTTACCCTATATATTCTTTATTAACTCTACCCCTTTACTTTTACGCCCCATATTTATTTTATTAAGTATCTTTTACTAACTCTACTACAGTTCGTCGTATTCGCTATGTTAGGCGGCGAGGAGCCGCTCCCGCTAATGACTTTTCCACTAGAAGAGACGAACATATGGCCGCGCACGGTGGAGGGGGTTTGGGATGTAAGTTCAGCTTTTCGTGTTGTATATTCGATGTCTTGATGTCTAACATAACCGACCACCCTAGCTCAAAGCTCGTCGTAACTCCTACCGAGCCATGTATAACCAAGTTTGGCTCGACACCGGCAAGAATGACGGCCACCCGGTTGACGCGATACTGGGCCCCGTGGGCCCCGGCTGCGCACCGCCGCATGACCAGGCCAAGTACTGGAGCTATACGTCCCAATGGAACTTGTTAGAATATCCGGCCATCTCATTTCCAGTTAGCCATGTCGACCAGAATCTGGATCTTGCAGACGAATCTAATATTCCGAGTAATCCCGATGATGCGTTTAACCATGGGCTTTACACTGGCCCTGAGAGGTACAGAGACGCACCCATTTCGCTACAGCTGGTCACTCGGCGGTACCAGGACGAGAAATGCGTGGAGATCCTGCGAAAGGTCGAAATAGCTATGGGGAAAAGTCATTAACGTGTAGAGAGGTTGTATGGTACAGCAGAGACGTCTTCACATATAAAAGATTTCGGCGTGAGCTGCATATTTGGCACACAAAAGATGCAAGTGTAAATTGGGTGTCAAATCCATGTCAGTAAGAGATTTCAGTAGGAGGCTTATCTCCTCCTAGCCTCCCCGATTTGAACGCCGAGAGCGCGAATAGGAATTCAATGAGGTGCAGCGCAGTGATTCAGTCAGGTAATGTTCCCGTAGAAGTCAAGCGCGAGGGCGAGGCAAACAGCCACAGGCGGAGGCAGACACACTGTAAACGACAATAGCGGTAGCGGTTACGAAGAGAACAGAGCAACATGAGCGATAGACAGTATGATCGAACAAACTGAAAGTAAATACTGTAGAGATTGTTTGACTCGAAGGCCTGCATCAAATTACACAGATCCACGTCGCTCAGAAACCCGAGCAGTATGGCCTAGTTTGACCCGGATCGCATGGTTGGTTGGATTCAAGAGGAGATTCGAAGACACACATGATGAAAGATCAGCATGGAAGAAAAAGAAGGACATCTACGACGAGGTTTGATTTTCTCCAACTATTCTGACCAGATTCTCTGTCGTCCTCTGACAACTGTGCCTTTCATCCCTAGTTCAAACTCCGCAGATTGCATTGAGGGCCTGCGATTTCAAGCGAGATCTGGGGAGAAAGGTCGAAGTCTGAGAGCTTGACAGTGGACCAGACCACTGGAATTTATGAAAGCCGTGTGTTTAATTTCGAATTCATGGAAACAAACGCACCCCAAAGCCGAGACATGAGGCGTCTCCGCTTTAAGAACAACCACTCATGAGAAGCCAAATCCACTAATGGAATACACCGCATAGGTCGGCAGAACGCCTTGCGGCGACAGCTCTGCATGTCTCCAGCTTTCATCAGTGAGCTATCATCCGTGAGGCTCCTCTGGGATTTCGGCCAGAAATTCTTCAAGCCGTCTGTATGACTCTGCGCGCACCTCTGCCGCCTCCTCGACCTGGCCGGCGCGTACAAGCACGTCCTCAAATTGCCACATCTCATACACAATCTGGGAACCCAGGCGGCCTTGGCCGTACTCTCTGAGAGCCAAGATGGTTCTCATCTTGCCAGTTGGAGAATCGGCATCCTCCCTCCATTGAGTCTCAAAATCCATCATTACTCTGGTGATATAAGCCATGATACGGGCTTGCAAGCGAGGGATATCCATGCCGGGATGAACCGGCATTGAGGCGTCGTCTTGAAGCACTTGACTTTTCAACCAAGCCGAGAGGACACGCACCCTCATTGTCGAGTCCGCGGGGACCTCGTCGAGCATCTGGGTGACCCCTGCAAGACTTTCCTGCTTCAAGTGGTTGAAGCTAGCAGGCTGTGAAGTTCCATCGCCACGCATACCAATGCCGTTGAATATCAGCTCATGCTTCGGCCAGAGCTTGTCAGTTGCTACTTCGACGTCATTATGGACTAACGTTCTGTTGACCTTGTCATGGATTTTGGCGAACCATTTGTCCGAATGACGCGCGATCTCAGGATCAAGTTTGACAATATCTGAGTCCCAGACGAGCTGGTAGTAGAGCAATAGGTACTCCGGGTCGAAGCGGGTGAACGTCAGATCCGCGTTTATCGACCACGCTCGCTCGAGCACTTCCGGCCGGACAGGAATGCTGTCGTGCTGCCATGCCTGCAGCAGGTCTTGCAGTCGAAGCAGTACCTTTGACACCGGTCTCCTGCCAGCAAGACTTATGAGATGGTGCAAAAGTATATGGCCGAGATTTGCCTGGCGGAGGAGGGCGATATTGTGGAAGATCTCGAGGGTATTCCAAATGAAGAGCGGCCCTGCTGCGTCAAGCAGAGTTTCTGCCTGGAGGAACGCCTTGCGAGCTAGACGACCAGCCAAGACACCCTGATCGCGATCAAGAAGGCCCAGTATAAGTTTGAAAGCGAAACTCAGCTGCTCGGGGTTGTTTAAATCGCGTGGCGGGGGCTTAATTGACGATTCAGGCGAGAGACTTGATGCCCCTGGGGGTGATGGCAGCGAATGTTCAACCGTGCCAGGTTCGGCCCTGTCGAAAAAGGAAACAGTCCAATTTCTGATACTGGAAAGAAATGCTAGTTGGGCCGCATCAGAGGTACTTAGATGAAGGATACGAGGGGCCCTCGAGACTGTAGCAGCCTCGACCAGTGCAGTTGACGGCGGCCCAGAATCTCGCGGCAGTTGAGGACCGACATCCTTGCCTCGCCGGTCCCGACGAACATTCTTCTGGAATCCCCATTTGGTGAAGCGTTTTTTGTACATTTGCACTCTTTTTGTAGGACGCTTGTCAGCTCACATGGGGTCTCTTTGATGCCAGAAGCGGCAGACCAGTCGCAGGCATCCAACAAGGGCCCTGAAAAAGGTAATGTCCGCAACATGTGCGGGCGCAACTTACGTGGCTCTGAAATTGTAATTCTCCTCCATCGCTCTCATTAGATACTTGAGACTTCTGCGCTCTCTGACGTACATGCGCTCAATAATTGGGTATACGGCCGTCCATTCTCTTTCATCGTGTTGTATCGGCAATGCGGTGCATGCCGAAGCTGGGCGCAAGTGAGTATCTGACTGGGGCATTCTCGGGAGCAACGGTCGCTGGCCTGGAGCCATTGAAGCCGGGGCGGTCATCGTGATAATACGGTTATCGCAGCATCAAATCATGCCTCCGTCACAGAGGTCATGGACGAGATAAGACAGTCAGGTGTGTCAGGGAACTTTTCCAGAGAACACCATTCGTCCGCAGGGGGCGCAGCGAAGGATCCAAGCTAACGAATTTCAGAATGAATACCCATGTCAGCGCCACAGGAACTACGGTGAGCCTGTCCAATGACATTGTAAGAAAAAGTTCTTTGTCTCACGACGAAAAAGGTCCCCCGGACGCTGGGATCTACATAGCTTGGAGGTGACGAATGAGCGTAGTGGGAAAAGTTCCGCATCGTTGCCGGAACATTGCTCAGCGATCTCGGGATCCGTAGCTCTAAAGACGGGGACGAACGAGATGGACGAAAAAAGTTCCCGGTTGTTCCTATTTGTGTCATTGGAAGTTTTATCCAACGGACCATTGCAAAATATAAAAGGGTCGTGAGCCCTCATGTTGAAAGATGTCCCAGAAGAAGACATCTTATCAGCAGCATTATCCCCATCACCGCCACCATCAGCAGCAAATTTTTATCATTCGCAGCACCAAGCAAGAATTTCTTGTTCCAATTATTCCAATACACAATTGCTGCTGTTTTGGCTTTATTCGGCCTTCCCGATTCATAGTCGTCATGTCCGCGCAAATGCAAGACCAAGCCGCATCGGAGACGAGCCTTTTGACATCTTTCCGCAAAGCTGTATTCAGCTCCGTGCCCCCCATCCCCGGAGCCATCAACCTCAAAGGCCAGTCCGGCATTATTACTGGCTCTAATGCTGGTATTGGCCTCGAAGCCGCCCGACAATTTCTTCAAAAAGGCCTTACTCACATCATACTGGCAGTCCGCTCACGGAGCAAGGGCGAGAACGCGGCGGAGCTACTTGCACGCCAGTTTCCTGCAGCCGACATCCAAGTCTGGCTGCTAGATATGGAATCCGATGCATCAGTGCGAAGCTTCGCTCGCCGCTGCGAGTCTCTTGAGCGGATCGACTTTCTCATTCTCAATGCCGGTGTCGGTAAAATGACGTTCGAGAAGAGCAACGAAGGCAGGGGTCGCGAAGTGACTCTCCAAGTCAACTACATCAACACCATGCTTCTCGCCATCCTTATGGTTCCGGTTCTAAAGGCCAAGGCTCAAGGTCGGCCCAATCGCTTGACCGTTGTCGGCTCCGATATGTCCTACTGGGTTACATTGCCGGAGACATCTGGGTCTCTCCTCGATGCACTCGATACCAAGGAGGGATACAACGGAATGCAGCACTACGGCAAGACCAAATTGCTTTTAGTAATGGGAGTTGCCAAGCTAGCGCAGACCGTCACGGCAGACAAGGTCATTATCAACTACCTCAACCCTGGCGCTACCAAAGGCACCGGTCTAAACCGCGAGGCATCGGGTGTCTGGAAGATCGTCCCGTTCGTTATGGATCGCGTGATCGGGCGAGAAGTTATTGATAGTGCCAGGCAGTACCTTCACTCGGCAGTGGTTCTGGAAAAAGAGTCACATGGTTCCTTTACCGACTTTGTCATCCGGCCGTAAGTTCCTGCTCCACGAGACTTCGCGCCGAAGTCTTCCACATGTCTTATTAACGCAGCCACAGTTATCCTAAGCTCATGTACACTGAAGCTGGTCGAAATAAAATGAACCGTCTGTGGGAGGAGACTTTGTCGGAGCTTGGGTTGAGTACGCACTCCATCTAGTATTATTTTGAGGAACAGAGTGGCGAGGGTTACCGTTATCTCTGCATGCCGGTTCTAGAAAGATATCAACCGTAGGTTCTGGTGGAATACAAAGGCCTGGTTTGATCATGTGCACCATAGACTTCTGCTGCTTTTCAAACATCAAATATATTTAATTCTTACCTCAAGGCGTCCCGTCGTAATATCAGTTTTTCTTGTTGCAAAATTCCCCTAGTGATCTCTGGCAATTTATTTACACAAAGTGTAGGGATGCCGTTTTCGGAGCCATGCTGGTCTTAGGACCAATGCTTTCAGACTTCTGCGGCAGTTTTGAAAGAAATCTCAATCGAAGAACCAAGCGTATCAAAGTTACTTTCTAATGTGGTTTTGCTGTCGGGGTGGAAGGTGGGCACAGACGACGACGAGGGCGACGACGAGGGCGATGACGAGGGCGACAACGAGGGCGACAACGACGGTGCCAATCACGATAGTTGCGAAGCTAATAAGAGCGATCACGATAAGGATGACAGCGAGGGGGACGATAACGAAAAGTATATTACCTTATCGAAAGGAATTTACATATTATAAAGAGAAATGATGCTGTTAAAACAGGACGATAGGTGTTTGACTCAATATACATAGTTATCCGCCTGGACAGAAAAGGCTTTCTAATATTTGGCAGTTTCACACTTGCTTCGGCGGCGAATGTTTCGGCCGTACTTGAAAAATTCCCATGGCCCGGGAAGTAAGATGAGTCAGACGAACCCTAGAAGGCTCGTGGCCCAACCTATGCCGAGCCTCTGGTACACTACATGATACATGTATCAGTGGGAGGTCTTCAATGAAAATGAAGGAATGAGTGAGTACTCACTTTGGAGAGAAAAGAACGGGAAGGCGGCAGCAAGGGTATACCTTGCCAGGCTATTAGCACTCGCTGCAGTTGCGACATTGGTTCGATGATGTGTGTCTCCAAGATATTGAATTGAGCTGACGGTCAATGAATTATTACCCCAGCCAAAGACTGCAACTGCCACAATTGATAAGGCAACATGCACATCTGAGCGATCCGTCCATCCAATCCAAAACAAGCTGATAGGCAGGCCCAAAGATCCCATCATAGCAGGGTAAAGTCGAAGCTCTGGTGGTATCTCGCCTGGCGGAAAGCTTCGAGCTTTAGGCTGGTAGAGATATCGGTCGCAAAGGACCAAGGTCACACAACCAAGAACACACCCGAATGCAATGGCCTAGAAGACTAGACCTGACTCTGTGAGACTGAAGTTATGTGTCGCCCCGAAAACGTGGAAGAAAGCCCCAAAGAACATAAACAGTGTTCCGAACATGCAGCCACATACAAAGAAAGTATTGACACGATGGGTTCTGTGAAAAGCATCCGTAGGGGTCGAAATAGACGGACAGTGACGAATTGCCGAATTCATTGTTGAGGTGGGGATCGGTTCGGGTTTATCGAGGCCGAGTTGCTTTCGACGGCGTCGTAGTAAGACGGGGTGATACGACTCGCCAGCGACAAAAAGCCACATTGCCGAAAATACGGAGAAGAACACTATGGTATACTGTGTCCAGCGCCAATCTTTCCTGTCAACTATTAAAGACCCCAGAACTAGCCTTCGACCTATTATGTCAGCACCCCTCAAGTTCGCGAGTTTTGCTGCGTCTTACCCGAGGCCAGGTCCCAGAAACGGACTCAGGATGAAAATTGTTGATGGTAACCCCTCTCAACAGGCAAGTAAGTTTCATTCAAGACACCAGAGCCTACGGCCAAAACAGGCCCGTAGAAGAACCCAGACAAGAATCTGAGTATGCACAGCCCCGGTAAAGGTTTCGGTGAATCCTGCGCCCAGGGCGAAAAGACCGCCAAAGACTACGGCGATAATATGGACAGCCTGTCTACCGGCCGTTTCTGATAAGGGCCCGCCGAGTACGGGACCAAGTCCTAGTGCAAGCACGTAAAATGATAGTGGCAGGAAGGCAGCCGTGCTCGAGATATTGAACTCGTCCATGAACTGTGAACGAGCTGGGCTGACAATCGAGGTGCCTAAAGAACTAGAAAAATCAGTTAGGGAAAGGAAATTTGTAACCAAACATTGCTTCACCCACCAAGTAAAGCCAACGATGGAAATCATTGCAAGTTGCACATTCTTTTTCCACGAGGGCCAGTTGTATGGATTTGATGGGTTTTCTTCCCACTTCCATTTAGGAGATGCCTGCCTGCCCCCTTCGGGTTTGCCATCATCAGAGGTAGCTACGTTATCAGCCATTTCTGTCCTGTTAGAAGCGACAGAATCCGGTCGTATTATGATGGAAGGTATATCTAGCCCGAAAAACAGTTGTATGTCAAGACTTGTTTGTAGCAAAGAATGTCAGTCGATCTGGCGCAAGGACGTCATTAGCTTTCAACCCAACCCTGAACCAAAGTCGATGCCTTTGAATGATTGGGTCACACTGATCGTGTCTTCATACCATTTGATTATCAATCACCTTGATATGCAAGACTTGCCGTCAAAGACTACCGATTATGTCGACCGTTTAAACTTTATACGGTTGTCAGTAACCAAAGTCCAGGGTTAGGTACTAATAGAGCATGCATTTGACACTCCTGCCCAAGTGGGCTGCACCCCCACGCAGATATCAGTTCCCACCATCGGCACCCTGCCGTACTATTTCGAAGACACAACCCACTTCACGGTTATCCTGTCGCTTCAGCCAAGGAAATACGGCATCGTTTCTCGGACACACGTCTTGTTTAAACTCACAAGCGAATAGGCGCTCTCAGTAACCTTGAAAGAGGGACTCACAGGGGCCGCTTTCTCACAGGGTTGCAAGCCCTACAGTTCGGGGCAGCTACGTCAAAATTTCGTCTTGCGCCGTCTGAGTTGAATAAACATCGACACTGAATTTGTCAGCTTTGTATAACGGAGGGATTGATTGCTCCAGATACCATGAAGAGAAGCTGTATGTAAACCACTACCAATGACCCCCCAGCGACTATGAGAGCAAGCATTGCAGCAAGCCGTTCTATTATAACCACACGTTTCTGTCCTCCACTATCTTCTCCTTTACCTAGCGTACGAAAGGCGCCGCTAAGACTTTTTCGATATAGCGCATAAAGAAATACTGGAGTCGACAAAGATTCCGCCTTTTGCATCGACTCCTCTGGCAAGCATACCAGCTTCTGTCAGCGCGGCCAAGGCCACTTTCAAGTCTGGCAAGACAAGGAATGTGGAATACCGCCTTGTCCAACTTCGAAAATTGTACTGGGGACTTAAAGACAGAACTGACCTGTTTCGGAAGGCCCTCAAATACGATCTTAACCGCCCTCCCTACGACGTCCATGTTTCTGACATTGACTGAAGCATTTCCGACTGCATGTTCGCCATTCAGAACTTGACGACGTGAGTACAGGATGACAAGAACATTGACATGTTCCTTCCCTTTTCGCTTCTTCGACCGCGGATCAGAAAAGAACCCCTGGGCACGGTTCTTATTATCGGAACATACAACTTTCCGGTGCAGCTGAACATTTGTCCCCTCATTGGTGCGATAGCCGCCGGCTGCACCGCTGTTGTGAAACCTTCCGAGAACGCCCCCGCAACGGCTACGGTTCTCAAGGGTATCATCGACGACTACCTGGACACCGACTCTTACAAGGTCGTTAACGGTGCCGTGCCTGAGACCACTGCTCTCCTGGACCAGAAACGGGACAAGATTCTGTATACTGGCAAGGTCAACGTTGCCAAGATCATCTCCAGAAAGGCTTCAGAGACGCTTACGCCCGTGTGCCTCGAGCTTGGCGGCAAGAATCCAGCATTTGTCACCAGCAATGCAGACCTTCGTCTTGCTGCCCGAAGGCTCTTGTGGGGAAAGACGCTCAACGCCGGACAAGTATGTCTGTCCCACAATTACGTTCTCATCGAGAGAGGACTAGTCAAGAATTTTTTCAAGTTTGTACGAGAATCCTACGCCGAATTCTTCCCCAAAGGCGCCAAGGAGAACCCAGACTTCTGCCGCATCATCAAAACCCAACATTTCGATAGGATGAAGAGCATATTGGATATCACGCGCGGCCAGAAGGTTTTAGGGGGAGACACTGACCGCAATGACTTCTACATCGAGCCAACGGCCGTTCTCGTCGATGATTTCCATGACATCATGGTTCAGGAGGAATCCTTCGGTCCGATATGGGCGATCGTTCCATTCGATAGTCTTGAGGATGCGATTGCTATGGCAAATGAGACCGACTCTACGCCACTTGCACTGATGGCCTTTGGCAGTCCATCGGAAAGTGAGAAAGGTAAGCAATCGTGTCTATACTAGGAAAAGGTCTTGATGGACACAACTAATATGTTGAGAATAGTACTGTCCAGTGTTACATCTGGAGGGGCGACACCCAATAACGCCTTCATGCACGCCGCAGTCCACACCTTCCCCTTCGGCGGCGTAGGTTACTCTGGCTCTGGCTCTTACCGTGGGAAAGCGTCGTTTGAATGCTTCACACATCGTCGCAAAACCGCAGAGACTCCCAGCTGGGCGGACAAGATCTTTCGTGTTCGCTACATGCCCTGCTTGGAGTCGGAACTGAGGATGTCACAGTGGCTAAGTGATGTCAAGCCGGATTTCAATCGTCGCGGAAGACAGGTCTTGGGGTTGAGATCATGGGCTTGGAAGATATTCAGACTGGGAAGTGCTTCTGGCCGAGGTACACTGCTGCGCTGGATTATTGTTGCGGCGAGTTGCTTTGCTGCTGCCAATGCGACCGGTCTTGGGCCTAAATTTATAATCCCAAAGGTATCAATCGCATAGGATAAAATGCAGCAACGTGTCTTCGTCAAAGACATAACCCGCAGCCTAATTATCACGATTTGTTTGACATAGCTAGTCCGCTAGATTATCGACTGGTCTCAATTCCGTCGAAATACCCGCTCCACATTGTTCGTTGCAGAATTGCTGAGTTAAATTGCACCACATCTCAATTGAAATAAATTTTGATGCTATGAGAGGACCGACACAAGTGGGCCCAGAGTGTCGTTCATTCGATGAGAGCTGAGATAAAGTCATCGGAAGTTCTCATTCATGACTTTGAGGCGCTCAAGACATGTACCAGGGTATCACTTGCCGTGCAACAGTCCCGAAGATAGAGTCAGAACTTGGCAAACCCAAACGAAACTGACTCAACATGGTTTAGTGGCATGTAAAAAACTGATTTGACCCAGTAGATCCACGAGGCGAGTGGTCCTGGTCTAATGACCACCCTGGATACTACCGGGGTCCGGACAGCAGCATTGTTCGAGCCGACCCGCGATAAGTAGCTGCATGGTGCCAGATAGAGTTCGCTCGCTAGGTAATCACGACGGCTGAGCCCGTGGTTTCCCGTCCTTTCACGCGCTTTCTGATCGACTTGCCGTCCAAGTGTGCTTGGACAAGTAGCTCGGGACGAAGGCAGACCCCGAATATCCTGCTTGCCGCCCGCTTACATACGCTCTGAATTGACGAATTCGGACACGGTTCGGCATCGCATCACTACAAGCCATGATAATGCAAACTTATTACCTCGTTTCGTAGGCAATGCTCATCACGGAAACCATCGCGGTCGTGTCACAATCATGGTAGATACTGTACCCTGTCTTGCCCTGCAGAAGCAACGCGGTGTTATGGAGCCAGAGGAATCAATGCTCAGTGAGGGAGGAAAACAATATAAAATTTCATAAAACGCCCCTGAAGAGGAAGGGAAAGAAGAAAGGACAATTTCTTTGATCATCATTTCCTTTGGTCATCCTCCAAGCCATTATTGATACACTCCACGTACCCAAAATTCTTCATTATCCCCAGTCATCATGGGCTCTCTCCCAGTCAGTGCTGAGCTCCTCGTCATCGGCGCAGATCCTGTTGGCCTCTTTGCCGCCTTTTGTCTCGGTCAAATAGGGATTCGCGTCACCGTCCTAGAGAAGGAAAGCGGCCTCTCCCAGCTTCCTCGAGCCTGTATGTTCTATCCCCAGCCACAGTTCGCTCTGGCGGACGCTGGAATATGGAAAGCCATCATCAAAGGCGGCGGTTTTCGATCCACTGGGATTGACATACGTCTTCCGCCAACTCCAGATGGGAACGATCGAAAGGTTCCAGGCCAGATTGTTGGGTCTTTCCCCAAAGACCCGAACCATGACCCTCTTGGCACATCTGTCAGACCACCGGCAATCAGCATGCTCAACATGGCCCAACCCGAATTCACAAAGATCTTGATGCAAAGCGCTCTCGAGACTGGGTATGTGCAGATGGTCTTCAACAAAGAATTAGTTACAATTTTGGACGACGGCTCAACCGGTTCAAACGTGGTGGTTTCAGTCAAGGACATCTAGACGGGGCTTCTCGAGGAACAGACAGCATCTTTTCTTGTTGGATCGGATGGCGGCAGATCACGGATAAGATCCCTGCTCGGCATATCCTTTCCAGGCCACACCTGGCCCGAGAAGCTTATCGCGACTGATGTCTGGCTTAATAATACCGAAAATAGTCCTATAACAACCACTTTGCTGATGGAGCCGATACATTACACCATTATTACCCCATTTACGCCGCCTGTCATCGGCGAGGTGACCAAGTGGAGGCTGACCTTTGCCGTCGACCCGAAAGAGCTTACCCAAAAGACCGACTAAGAGCTGCTGTCGGAGGAATACATATCCTTTCACTACGACCCCGCTTTGGCCGGCCCACGCCCAATCGCTTACAAGATTGAAAGAGCAGCAACTTACACCATCCATCAACGCTTGGCTTCTAAATTGAGACATGGAAGGTGCCTCTTGGCCGGGGATGCGGTACATGTGAACAATGTAAGCAACACTCTTTCTGGGGGGGGGGACACAATACTGATTACCTTGTCTTCGAATAACAGGTTATTGGTGGTCTGGGGTTGAGCAACTGTCTGATGGAAGCTGTGGCTCTCAGCGATGCTCTCATCTTGGTCCTGGAGGAGGGCAAACCTGCCAATCCTGTGCTGACCATGCACTCTGACGAGCGTCGTCAGGTCTTTCAGTTCTTCATCGACCCCGTGTCGTCGTGGGTAGTTCCATCCACCTTTCTACCACATAAGATTTGTCAAAGTAGACTGACGGGAGTCATATACAGAGCAAACTTAGAATACAGGCAGGCGAGCATGATGACTGGTTCTTCCGCTGCTTGAAAGATACTTCGAGTGCTGCGTTCGAGAGATGGATCGATATGATGGAGAATTTCTGGCCCACGCGAATAAAAGATATGGCCAAGGTCATGTGACACCTCAGGCAGGTTTCAGATTATCTGTGAGAGACGGGCACAGTCAATCCGCATTTGGAGACACAAGGCACATACCACTACAGGCGGTTACACCAAATGCCTCCGTACTAAGAAGGCCCCTTGTATGATCCATTCGTCAGAGACCGCCTACTTGTGTTGTGCTATGGTCATCACCTTTTCTATAGATTGGGCATAATCTAGGTATGTAACCAGGATTGCCGTCGTCGTCGTCGTCTTCGTCGTCGCCGGTGTCGTCATCTAACCTTTCTCATTATTATTTTCCGTCCTTCTAATGTCGATAGCCATTTGATCGGAGTAATATTACACAGAAAATAGTATCACACTGACAGAAGAGAATTAGGTAGCCACATGTGTCAACCATGAACGTCCTGTAGGCCAGTCTAAGAACATAGTCTGGTCGAAAATCCGGGCGACAGGTTTAGGTTCACTTCAGAAGCATCAAATAACTTCAAGTCAAGATGCACTAAATAAACATGGGTACTCACTCCCTCAGGCTATGGCGAACTAACTCGAATTTTCTATCAAGACAACAAAGCCCACAAAGCATCCTCGGCATTCTCCTCCTTCACACCTCTAGGTTACCTGTCAATTCCGTAGTAATAATCCAACAGCGATCTCATCCGCCCAAGCTGAATTTCAAAACGATCGCCACTGACGGTGACGCAAGGGGCTGTGATTGTTCATTCCACCCAGAGACATGAGGCCCGACATATAAGGTAGTTCTTAACTTTGTCTGTTACTCGATTGACATTGTAGACGTCGCCGTCAACGTTGCCGCATCGTCGAGCCCTTAATATTTGGAAGCAGACATCCTCGACTATTCCCATCAGATCCGCCATGTTGCCGGTGTGAACCGGCAGCATGGGAGAACTGCCCATACCTCCGGCATTACAGGCGTCAATGATCGTTTTCACGCAGCTCACCTCACATCTTCCAGCCCTGGGCCTAGTGCACACAGAGTGCTGGCTAGCACGCGCCATGTCCTCGTGGAAGATGCGGTGTACGTAATCGACTCCTCTCTGCCTCAACTGCGAAATTGTTTCTGAGACCTTCGGTCAGAATGTGCCAAACGAGACACGACGTGGGTTCAAGGTTGAACTTACTCATGATCTCGTCGGTGTTCCAGGTACCTCGAAGTTGCAAGGGCAGACCATTCAGGCCCAACAGCTCACTTTTTTCGTTGACGCGATACCAGTAGCTCATTCATAACATGATGGTTTCGAAATCTGCCTTCGTCCGAGTTTCCCAAGCAAGCCAGAGGAGGAGATCCACGTTCGGCAGGCTCATGACAGACCACCCCCATGAATTCCACCAGGCAAACCGATGGTTGGCCGTCCAGTCCAAGTACCATGGTAGAAAGATTTCCATCATGTCGTACTTGTCTGCCGTAATTAGGAGGTCATGCAACTCGTCAATGGAAATTTCTTTCGGTATGTTCTCCCATCGGCCATGTATCATGGACAGGGGGAAGAAAAGCGGCTCCACGGGGTCATCTGGTAGGTTGACGACCCAGCCACCCTGGCTGTTGTTGACTTCCGATTTGCTTCTCACGCAAAATTGCCATGTGGTATACTTCGTCAGATGGCCCTATGAGTTGATCCAAGGATTGCCACATATCGTTGTCGTCGCTGTTTGGGGATCCGTTGCCATTGCTGTTGCCAGAGTTGGCGTGCGATGAAACAATCTCCGGCACGGCAGCGTCCTGAATGCTAACCATGCCGATAGTGGAGGTCGTAATGTCGATTGTGTCCCAAAACTTCCCCAAAAAACGATTCTTGGTTGACGGATTCATGCATGTGGTCGTCCTATGCTCGTCAGAATTAGAATGGGGAAAACGCGATGCCGCCTGCTGGATGCCTACCTTCGCATGGCTGGATCAATCTCCAAAGTGCAGGTACCGCTTTGTCGTCTGTGGGAACTGGAGTTGCTCCAATGCGTTCTGCGTTGTTTTGCGCAGAATGGAGATGTAGGCTGCCCAGCCCCAAAGTTCAACCACAGCCGTAATCACCCTTCCGGTCATTCCACCGCTTTCATAATGCCAATCCACTGATCAGTGCATTCTTTCGGAGGCGCTCTCGGATCCCTGGCTTCAAGGGTGAGCCAATGGTGCGCTAAACATTCCTAGTTAGTTCATCAATGTTGTAAAACGGGTTGGACCCATGTGTCGACACAACCGACTTGGATATCGTCTCAATGGTGTCAACGAGCTCCTTCACGGTGCCTAAGAATTGGGGTTCTCCAGATAATTGGGTCTCTCGAATAAGCATTAAAGATGATACAAAGTGTGTGATATTGGCGTCGTCGCAAGCCTCTATTAGAGATCCTACTATCATCGCGTGGCAATCCTTGTCATGGGTTTCGCACAAATTCCAGCCTCGAGACGTATGGACTTGAGACGTGTTGAGTGTTGAATTTAGATATGATATCAGCTGGGAGATGAACAGCCTTCTAGTACGCTTGATAAATTCTGTAAAGCATGTCAGCCTAGAGCTCGAATGGGGCTTGTCCAAAATCCATTAACCTTCCTGATCGAAGCCTTCAATAGTAGCGTAGTAGCATGGAGTGAGCGACAATTGGTTAGTGAGGTCTCCTCGTTCGTTGATGCAAGCAATTTCGCAATCCGCCTTGACGTGATCGGTGAGGATTTTTTCATGGCCAATGAGCCACGCAACATCTTGGCACAGAGACAGGTGGTCGGGACATTGGGAGATCCATTTCTGCAGCCAATGGGCCAGAATGAGCTTCACGACGTACTTGTCCATCAGACGTAACACCATGTAAAGCTCATCGGCGCTAAGGTGATCTGGCAGGTAGTTGGCGTGCCCATGAGCGGCTGCAATAATGAAGAACATGGCCCAAGGGTTGTCGTCGGGCAGGCTTACGACCCAAGCTGCGGCGGTGGTCCTACAACCAGCGTCAAGTCTCCCGCGTACTGCGAGAAGATCTCTGCGGTCGCCGCGGTCGGCGAGGTGGTCTTCTGCTTCAGGAACTGCCACATATTGTCTGCCCCGTGGTAGCTATGTTGGTCTGCATCGGAACTCTCGGATGCCATGATTATGACCTTCTGCGGCTCGTGTCAGCCTAAAGTCGACGATGCATGGAACGTTGACGAACCTTGGCTTCAAGCTGCTCTCTATGAAGGCTGTTTCTAACAAGACTTGGGATTTCTGTAGTCGTGGGAAGATAGGTCGTCCTGTGGTGGTGGGATTTTGCGAGTGGAAAGATGGAAGTTGAGGTGGACGAAAGGAATAAGCGCCTTCAATTTTTCGCATCAATACTCCGGCAAAAGGTGTTCAAACTTCCATTCTTTGTTATTCTTCACTGGTATATAAGAACATTGATCAATATTACCTGCGCACTCAATCGCGTTTAAATCCCGAATCCGCCACGCCGGGAGGTTTGCCGTCGTCAGGAGCCAACAGCCCAGCGCTTCGCGGATCCAAAGAATTAAACTATTCTCTCTCAATTTAAACTCTCAGAAACCTACAATCTCACACGCAGCGAAGACGGTTTGGCAGCTTCTGCGAAGAAACGTTAAACACCAGTTTTCTTCGCTTGGGCTCGCAAGTATTCCAAATGCTTATCAGTCACCGGGGAGTCGATATTGGCCACGAGACTCGTGACTTTATCCTTGATGTTTTGCAGGGGGTTGCAAGTATTGTGATTCGGATCGTCCAATGAGAACTTAATGGATTTGATCGCTGACAATAGGTCGTTGATACTTCCGAGATACTTAGGCGTGGCGCTTTGCAAAAGGGCCACATCCTGCAGGCCAATTTTGTGAACTTGCTGGATGAGGGAGCCGAGAACCAGCCTGATGCATTGATCCGGTGCCATTGAACGTCTATTATGAGAGCCGTAGCTGCCATAATAATCACATCCACCGTTATCTGGGCATTTGCACTTGCCATCCTTCAATGCGTTCTCGACGGCGTCATAAAGCATTCTGGTCATCTCGTGAATGACAGTTGCTCTGGTTGAGGCGATCGTTGCTATCGTCGTTGCGTATCAGCATACAACAACCCAAGAGCTCTGATCGTAACAAGCTACTTACCGAGGATTCCTGGAGGCTCCAGGAACGTGTAAGTGCTGAGAGCGATGCCATTGCCGTCAAGTGGCTCTCCCTCGTCATTGATCTTCGATTTGAGCAACAAGCTTTTCGCATGAATACGAAAGGTTTCCTCATGACCAAGTTCCCATGAGATCCACATGACGATCTCCTTGCCCTCGGTTGCCGATATTCCCGTGGCAGCGTATGGTCGGAACCATGTTGAAGCCCATGGACTCAGAGTCTGCGTCATGTCGTACTTCTCAGTCAACACCAACAACTGGTACAGGTGATCTTTTCCAAGGCTTTTGGGTATGTGTTGAAAGTGTCCATGTACAATACACAAGACCAGGAAGACGGGAGAAATAGAATCCTCCGGCATCTCAATTGTCCATGGAGCCTCATCCCTTGGCCTCGATTCAGCGAAACCAGTGAACAGCATCGCACGGAAGACGGATGACCACCGTGCAAGGGATCTCGAGCACACAACGGACTCGTACACACGCAGCTTCTCATCACTGCTGTCTCCAACCTTGAGAGTCAAATCACCACGAGAGTCAAATCACCACGAGAGTCAAAGTAGAAAGCAGGCCCGCCAGCGAGTGATTCCATTGCCGGTTTCATACATTCCCAGACGGCTGCATCTTTCGTATAACCACAGTCCACTGGCTTGTGTCTGGAAGATAAAAGGCATCAGCACTGTGTAACTCACGGCATTCCACGGTATTTGAGTACAGACGAGATGTTTCCGCCTGGCGGTATCTTTTCCACAGGGATGTAACAAAGTACACGCAACTTATTTTAGTACTACTTACGGAATCGATTTCTTCTTGCTCTTCTTACCCCTCGTGGAGGCTGATGGTGGAGCAGAGAAGATCCATTCGCCGACTTGACTCATGGTACCTGGTCGTACACCGGCAGCAGGAGTAGGATTCGGGAGATGTAGTAGTCCGTGCATCTCATGGCAGACTTGAGAATCATACAACAGTGACCATTTGCTCCTCTTTATATTATGCCGTAATCTTTGGGGCCCTTGCTGAGCAACCTGTTGGGAATAGGAGGGCTTGGTTCTATGAGCCAATCAATAGTTCCAAAACTAGATGGATTTTGAGCTAAAGCAGGAGGCCTACCATCGTTGATCAAGCTTTGTAATCGAGAGTGCGACAACCAATCGATTACAGTTCAATGATTAATCTTGTCCGTATAGGGGAACACGCATGCACTATGCTGTCATTCCCGCTGGGGAGGCTAAGCAGCCACAACATGCAATTCTACATTCGGCATCTGAGGCAGACCACAATGAGGTGCGTCTAATTCGCCCTTTGACATTTGCACTTTCCTAAGTACCACAGGGTGATGTATGCATTCTTCTCAAATCAAATCAGTGATGTGATCATGCAACTGAAGACTGGTCAGCTAAAGTTGTAGTTGTTGGATTTTAAATCAAAGGGTCTCATTAAAAAACGAGTATTAGTATAGAGAACACAGTGTATTTTCCCGCGTTGCTTTTACTAAGTAGCTCCCTCCTTGTTGAGAGCTACGGATGGGTCATCTTTACAGGTTTCTACTTATCCAGTCGGAGAATAACATTTATTGCTAGCTACAGAAATCAACGAGGGATATTCGCCCTGGTACTCGTCATTGTGATTCGTAGCGTCGGGGCAGAAAAAGGACTCCCTGGAGAGAAAGCAGCTAGCTGTATAGGCCTCTTGAAAGACGAAGCCAAGACGTTGTTATTCTCATTTTTCCATTGCTGCGATCCGTTTCTACCAAATTTCCTTTCTTGGACAAAGTCTACTCTGTGTTAACACTTGTCTGCTTGACCCGATTTCGTAGGTATTCAAGGTGCATCCCCGTGACCGGGGACGACAACTTGTCGAGCATCTCTCCTTGAATATCAATCCACGGGTCGCACATATCGTGACCATTAACGCAACCTTCGATGAGCTCGCTTTCGAACAAATTTGATAGATCATCAATACTTCCGAGATATGAGGAAGATGTGACCAACGGCAGAACAAACTCCTCCAAGCCCATGTTGCGAATGCGGCGAATAAACATGCCAAGGAAGAGGTCGTCGCAATTCTCTCTTGTTATGAAGTCGGATCGATCATGGAAGTCAACTTCAGAGTATCGGCGTATAATATCAGCATCTCCCAAGCAGCAGGCCCCTACGACGTATTTCTATATTTAAAATTTTCCTCGCAACTTGGTTAACATCATTTTTCAATATCATCACGAAACTAAAATCCTACTTGGTCAGTAGTTAGTGGCGAGCATTGTGGGGTAGCCGGCCAAAAACGAGTAACAATAGGCGGCCCGCGCAAATCGTTCCACGCGGAAGCTGTTCTTTAGTTTAGTACCAGCATAGCCGTGAATTACCACCGCCCAATTCAAAGGCCATAATGAACATAAGAAGCCCATATCGGCGTAGCCTGCGTTTTATCGTTCTCAATCCCCCCTTGCTTTCTTGGGGGGCTTCCTAGTCCGTCCTGCCAACCCAAAGTAGTCCTCTCTCGCTCATAAACTCATATGTCATCCTTGCCATGAAAACACACTGCGCATCGTCAATTTCCTCAAGCGCGCCTAGCACATGCCGGAACCCCGCGAACTGGAAACATACTTATGTGTTAAATACTCTCATCGACGAAATTATCATCAAGAATCTGGCCCATGCCTCAAGCTGAGAGGTAGGCGACAAACGGCGATTTGAATTGGATTGTAGGTTGAACTTGTCAAACATATACTCAACAGATAGTAAGTTATCTTGTCAATCCATAATAAACAAGTGATTCTACGGTGGATAGTTATTGCCTTTGGAAGCTTGAAACGACAAGCCTTGGAGGTAATATATTCGCGGGTAATTTGGTGCAACTCTAAAGCCCAGATATCGTGATGCTTACTGATGTTGATAATGATGATGGGGCCTTGTGCTGCAACCTCTTGCATCTGCGCCTCAGTCGCGGCCATGAGAAAAGTCTTGAAACCAGGCTGGCGGCGGATGTCGCAGAGCAGGGCGCCTACCTGGCTGCTTGCCTGGGGTGATATTAATTAGCTATGGCGGAGGCGGATGTCACTGGCGAAGTCGTATCAGGAGAACGAGATACTACGAACGGCCGAGCAAGTTAAAAAGGTCGGTTAACAAACGTTCCATCTCTGGATGCTCTTTTGCAGCACACAGGAGTTGAGGTAGCCGAAGCTTTGATTGCTGCTGTCTTTGGAATATGTCCTCAGCCCACACTTGATCAAGACGATTGCCAAGGTCGTAGCATCTCAGCGTAGTTATCTGGCTGTCTCTGGACACCCTGAATGAGTTTGATGGGGTACAATGGGCGGCCGCCGGTTCGTATGAGCTCGTGGTAAGTTTCGGTTTCGAGTTCCGTCGGGTCATAAGGTGGTGTAGGAGACCTGGATTGAGCCCTGATTCCGCTTTGTCGTCGCGATGAGAAACTTTCGTTGGGCGAAACTCGACGTAAGCGTACATTGAGGTCATTGAGATCAAGTGGTCGAGAGCACGCCGTAGGGCTCAAGCTCAGGCTGCCTTTCTTGAGTTCTATGGTGTTGTTAGTCGAAACCGGTGAGAGTGCGGGAAGAGCGTGCTAGCAAAAACTCACTCTAACCTTCCGGCGAGACGGCTGCGATCGTCTCTGCCTTCCGGCTAGATTCGTTGAAATTACCATAACTGATAAAGGCCTCATTTTCGGTTCAATCTCCAACCGCGACGTTGTTCTGTGCGCTCAAGGTGTCTCGAACATCCATTTTAGCCTGACATTTGACGTTTTCAACCGCCCCATCGTCGGCGGCCATCATATCCCTCAGGAGAAGAAAAGCATCATTGTCACGGTGCTGAACGCTGTGTCGTCATTCTACCTCACGACGTACGATCTTTAGAATACGTTGACAGCGTCAACAGGTTTCGTCAGGGAACCGCGACCACTGAGGATCTCCTCGAGAATCTATGTCTGTCATATCCGCCGACGAGAGGAGGCCAGACACCCGGCACTGGAGAGATCAACTTGCGAAAGAGACTTGGAGAGGCGGCTTATGGCGTCGTGACTCATCTCTAGAACGTCACCACAGGGGAGGAGCGCGTCGTGAAAACGCCTAGCCCCAGGACTGTTGCGGCATAGTTCTGAGTTGATGACTTTCTGTGGCACATACCTCTATCTCGCCCCGGACTTCTATATAGACATGCGATCACACGTTGGCTATACTGAGGCTGTTGATATCTGGTCTCTTGGTGTGGTGGCATGCTGAGTACTGTACGGTCTACCACGATACGAGGACGAGTACATGCAGAACGGAGTGGCTTGGTGTGAGAAGGTCATTACGGTAATGCAAAGGAATGTTGTTAGACAACCGATTGCGCTGGGATTGATTCCGGTGGAAAGTATGATGGTTTTATCCTTAGAGTCGCAATCTTCGGCTAGCGATTGCTACAACGTATCAGGAAATCTACTTGGATCTGAGCCGGAATCGTTTGATGGGCCGTCCTTATCTTCATACTCTGGGGAAGGAGACCAAGAGAGTTTCAGGTGTGCTCTGCAGAGCGACGATGCCGATAACTTGTCGACTGTTATCTACCGGCCAAGGTCTACGGGAGAGGCCACCCCCTCGCTAATGATCATACAGTACAACGACGGGGAATCGGACCATGAGTTGACCCATTTGGTGGAAGACTACTCGGCAGACCCGTTGAATCCCCCTTGCTTTGGATCGTCTTTAGCATCACAACTAGGTCGAGGCAACTCGAAAGAATGGGAAATCCAATTCCTGGCGGGCGCGTCTTGGGAGAATCAGGACAGGGCTGAGGGTCTGGAGAGTTTCACAATACTGAAATCGAATATCCCACGAAGCGAGAACGCAGGATGGCAAGCAGCTAGTGGACCTGGTCCAGTTGATGAAGGCAATGCAATCAACATTGGCGAACACAACAGCATGCTGCATTGTTGCTTCAGACTCTTGGCCAGGGGCAGTGGTAAAACAGTGGCTTGTTCAACTCAGCAGCACGAGTAACGGAATGTAAATGGTTGGGTTAGCTGTGACTGAGAAAGCGGGCCAAAGGCACAATGTTCGGTGAGGAGACTGAACCCTTAGTTACTACATGGCCGACCTATAACACACATTTGGATATCTGACTGCATCTCTGATCTAGCTCGTCGTCAAGAATGAAAGTCGTCGCGCCTAGGTTCGTTATCGTCCATATACGACACGTTCAAATACGGGTGCAGACAAGACTGATTTGGATTGGCAAGGTGTCCAAGAGTCGACTTATTAAGAAGACGGCTGTGCATCGAATCCATTCGATTCTCTCTACGTTAAAACTGCTTTGGTTTCGCCGTTAAGCGACGACGGGTAAGTAAGCGAGTTCTCGGGCCATATTACTAGACAGAACCAGGCCTGTTGTTTACAGGCCAACACAGGCTCACGAAGAGGAGAGACAAGCCTAGAACCGCGCGTCGCAAGAGAGGGTTCGGACATATCCAAGACTGCGAGTGAATTCAAGACAGTGCTTCTCCAGTTAACCGATTAATTCGAGTCAACGCAATGCCGCTTCTGCCATACAAAGGCGTTATTACATAGTGCAATAGGGTTGTCGCCCTTACTAACACCATTACTAGGATATCCCATATGCAGTTGGTAGTGTTAGAAGGGACTTAGCTTAAAAGAAACCTTTTACGAATTATCGACAGGGCTAAGTAGTGGGGGTGGGGGAGGAGTCCAAAGATCATTTGCTAAGTTAAGTCCCAATGCCGATGGATTAGCATAGAATCTATGGATCGTTATCAAACGCAATACGGTCGAGTGCGTATTCTATAGCGTCGGTAAAAGAAATTGTTTTTATAATAGACGTAAAAATCGTAGATAGGCCCCCCTAAGCTGTCCTAATAATGGCACTAAGGCTGAGGTAAGCGGCTTAGACATATCTTGGCCAATCAGCACAGCGTGCACATCTAGTCTAGGTGTGGTGGCACATCTGCCTAACGTACAGGCCATTAGATGTGGCGCCGCATCTGCACCCCACTCCTGCCCGGTTGGCACAAAACCAGATGTGCGCAGTGATTTGATTGGTGTACATCCGTCGTCTAAGCGGTGTGGTAATTAATCCCAAATTCAACCTACTGATAACAACACCTTACACTAACACAAATCCTCAATTAATTTAATTTAGCAGGTTTCGTTCGGAATCAAGCTAAGCCCGAGGCTTTCGTGCTAACGTAATGCGTTACTAAATAAACCGATAGGGAATTAACCTTAGTTCCGAGAGCGCCTTATTTGGTGCGAGTGAGGGTAAACGAAAATGCATGCAGCACGAACATCGGCAAGGAGATCGGAGACTAGCGCGTCTTGGCAAAATTGCCTACACCAAAAAGGCGTTAGCTCTATATAAGCTCACAATGCATACAGCATTCGCAGAGGGCTGCTAGATTTCTTCAAATTGATTTTACCTTCTCATAATCCGGATGCCTCTAATTTTTGTCACCAAAACGGCGGGAGCAAACCAGGAATATATCATCTTCAAGATATCACCATACAGCCTACCTCCAAAATCAAAGCCTACGTCGAGCCTCTCGGCTATGTTTTAAATAACATTCGCTAGAATACTATAAAACAAAGAACCGCTACTAAGAGTATACTTAATAAAAAAAACTTATTTATATATAAACATCTTAATAAATCGAGCGTATTTAAAGCCATTAAGAGACCTTAAATATAAATAAGAACAGGGATAAGAAGCCGCATTAAAAAGACTAACAAAACTTAAGAGTAGCTACGATACCGCTGTCCAGGAAAGGCATAAAATGTCAGCTTTGCCTAATACTCAAAGCCTAGTAGGTAGCGTTTATGTCGTTTTAGAAGTTAGCGTTAATACTTATTAGGTCGATTTTGTACATACGTGGGTGTCAATTTCATTGAGGCGCGGATCGCCAGCGCCGCCTCCTGCAGCACAGTTTTCTCCAGTCTTGCGCGAAGACGGGCAGATCTACTGAGCGACCGCTCTGTGCGACCCGGATCTCTTGCCCTCTCATCACGGAAGAGATCAGCTGAAGAGGAGCCTGAGATGTCGATAAAACGACCTTGCAGCAGGAGTCTCGCTATGAAGACCTCCAACAAGAACGCCGATGCGAACGAGATTGACGGCGGCGGAACCGCGAGATGCAAACGTGCAGTCAGCGAGCCTGGCGGTGCAGGCTTGATGTCGAGCTGCGATGGGCAAGGATGTCACGCCCCGTTGCAAGCAGTCACCGCGGCGCGGTCCGATCTAAGTCGCCGTGCTCACAACGGAGGACCTAAAGTGCCCCCTTCTAGGTGCGGACGGGCGGTGGCTGCTTTGTGGGTTCCTCTTGGAGCTCCTGACATTGCAACGCCTGGCTGCGACGAAGGCAATGCGAAAGCAAGGAATGGTGACTTCAGAAAGGTGCCGGGAAATGAAGAATCATCAGCCGCCGGCGACCACGACGCCGTGCATCAGCAGACCGATACGTAGTCTCAAAGCACCCTATCTAATAGTCAATAACTTATCCTCGCCATCAGGAGACAGCAGCGTGACTGAAGAGCCTGCAGTGACTTGTTCGAAAGGCTTCGGCTCGCTCTCAGACGTGTGCAAGAAGGCCATCACCTCGTCAAAGCCTATCTCGACACCAGATAACATTGCCAGTCCTCACGAGGAGGTGGTGGACGTCGCCTGTGCCCTGCAAACTGGCTCACGACGACATCCGGGCTCGCGCGGATTTCAGTTGAAGTCTATACCAGCGTCCGCCGCTCGCATCACGTTGCTGATTGCAGAGTGCAGACAAGGTTCCGAAGAACCCGCACCAAGACTTGGACGGAAATCGGCAGAATACGATGCCATCGTCTATCGTCAGGATGAAGGGGCTGGAGTAAGCCATGCTAGTCAAGACGACAATACTAGCGATCCGCAGCACACTCCCGGCCGCGATCCGACACAAACCCAACCGTCACCTCTACCATCTGCATCTAACGCGGGTCGCCATTTCAACGCCCTCCAATCCCCGGGACCGCTCTCAGCAACGTTGTCGCGTTTACGTGCTAGAAACGGCTGCGGCGACGAAAACAATTCGAACGGCACAGACTGTACTGCGGATGTCGCACATATGGATATTTTCAAGTTGCCGCATCTTTCAGACGTGCCGTTGCCCTCGCCAGATTGTTTGTATAGTCACCAGCGTGTTTCATAACGCATCTGCCCATTCTCATTCTACTCGTTGATCAATAACCCCAAAGATGGACATCACTATATTTCCGCATATTCCCAAACAGAAGAATCGTGCAATTTTCACATACGTCACTGGACTTTCCACACTATCCCTCCTGTCATCCTTCTTTTACATTACATCACGCCATGGCGAATGCTTGTTTCCTGTATCAGATGGCCCTTTGGGCTGTCAAGCAAACTTTGGCTGATCCAGAGGCACATAGCGCGGCCGCCGTTGCGGACCGATGCAATGGCAATGCCAACTCCATGGTTTTACATAAACGACCAAGAAGAACGGAGAGAGGACAGGACAGAGGCTCTGAAGGAGTTCGAATAACCTAATGTCGATCGAAAACCAACAACTGTCATCTCTTATGTCAATCCGCTCCCATGGCGAAACATTCTAGTTGCTCCGCATCACAGAGAGCGAGGTGGAAGTTGGATATAGTCCATTACTAGAGTCGCTGGTGGGGGCCTCCACTTTGTAGTGGGTAGGCATGGTCCACGTCTATGTTTTCTTCTCTCTGCTCGCCTTTGTACATGAAAATTGATACTGTCTTGGGCCCTAGTTCTCAGTCACACCGGAGTCTCACCAAAAATGCACCCTGAACAGTTCGGAACCATTTTACGCAAGACAAAGGATCTCACCACACTGTATCAAGACCTCAGCTCGGCCCTTGTGGGTCAATACTGGGCACCGAAGAGGTCTCAAGAGCATGCACCACGCGCACAGTGATTTTTGACCAGCTTATACAATTATTTAAACCAATGGATGGTCATGCTCCTCGTCCTGAATTCAATAGCGATCAGATCGATTTTTTGACATGTGTATATTTCTCAAATCCGAGTTCACTGTCTGTGGCTATGCGGAGGAACTCGTCATGATATGCCAGCGCGCCAAGCGGCTAGAGACAGACACCCGTTCACAAGCCCACAGATATCGTGAGCTCTATGGTACCCAGAGAAGAGGGCGGTTCCAGAGAGTAGGATTTTGTGCCATGTGCATCAAATTCTTTAAACCGTACGACATCAGTCACTCGGCCAGCATGGAGAAGTACCGGAGATACAAAGCGGAAAACGGATAGACCCAAGCCATTCACCCGTCCAGAATACCCCGCGACTATCTCTTTCCTTATAAAGTCATCGTGGTGCCCCGTTCAGCCCATGCTCTTAGCCCCCAATCTAGTGCGAAGCTGTAACTCATCTCTCAAAAATACTACAAAGGTATTCATGCACCGACGTCGACGGACTTTCGTCGCTACCTCGACATGTTTCACTCAGATGAGATTGTACTCCAGAGATCAATACCCAGGAGGCCACCAAAGGCGTTCACACCCGAAGTCTGTATAAAAGAACTCCCGCCCCTGCCAAAGAGTGAGGCCAATGGTTCAGTTCGTCCTTCACGGGTTTAGTGCTGAGGATGAGTTGATGTTTCTACACAACAGAGACGCCCTCTTCAATGATTTCATGCATAACGCGTCAGTGCAAGCAGGTTCCAGCTCGACACCTCTCTCTCCGAAAGGGCAGATAGTCCCGCCGAAGCTATGACTCAAAATACTAGCAGATATGCTCGAGGGAGCGGAATGAACAGAAAGGGCAACCTTGCCGCGAATTTGTAGTCTTAGCTGGTTTTTTTCATTTAGGTCGAGCAGTGATTTGATTATTACCATAGAGATATGGTGTGGCGACAATGAATGGAAATATATCGAGGCTGAGACGAAATTCTAGACCTTAGTTTGAGTGTATCCGAAAGGGCTTGCCAGGAGCCTATCAAGTGCGATCAGTCTATTTGGAAGTCCAGGACAGCTGCAAAGCGAAGCAGTAAACGCCCAGGCCCTTGTAATTATCACATTCGACTTCAGGACAGTGCGACATATTGTCAAGAGAATAAATGAGCGAAGGCTCTTCGGGCCAAAAAGATGTTACCAATTTAGACGCCACTTAGCTTCGTTACGCGGAAATAAACTAGAAACTTGTATAGCTGGGCCGCAACAGCTCGCCTCATTTCAGCACCAACAAATCATGACACTTTCCAAACGCACAACCTCGTAACGAAACCGTGACCTGCCCGGCGGTGTTCCGTACGATGTTGTTTTTCAGAAATGCCCTAACACCGTACGCCTCAGCGTACGCCTGGCCCGATGACGTGATTGTGGGCCCGTAAACGAATCGACCATCTCTGATCATGTAATAAACGTACCGCTCAAGGTAATCCATCGCGTCCAGATGTGGAAGGACGGCAGTAATGAACGCGACATGCTGCTCGTCGCTACCGTGGTCGACAGCAAACTCGGTAAGCCAGACGGGTTTACCGTGGCATATCTCGTAAACCGACGACACAAAATTCAAAAGACTTCCCACAGAATCACCATACCAGTAGGCAACGCAAAAATCATACTCGCAGCCCAGGCTATCGCATATCCACACCCATTACTTCAACCAGCTAGGACCTTAGCCGGCAACAGCGCTGTTGCTAATCGCGGGCGACCCGATATTGACTCGACCAGCGTACCAATTAACGAGTTTCACATGGGCGGCGGCGGCAGATTCAGCGTCCAGGTTGCACTGGTTGGGCCTGTCGCACTCGTTGAAACTGATGTGTATAGATCCACGCGATATCATTGCATCCGCGTTCTGCGGCCAGCGCCCGGTGTGTTCTGGGGCGGGGCTCCACAGCATCAGCACTTATTCAAGCGAAGGCTGGAGGAGTCCGTTATCGATGGAGTCCCAGTTATATACCCACGAACACTTAGAGCACTGCACGCTATCCGTAAATTTATTGACAAGGCTTGCGTCGTTATAGGCAAAACCGCATTTAGCTACTTAAGCGTCGACGCTGAATCGTGGAGGGTGGATGCTGTTTAAGTGAGCCACAGTAAGGCTGGTCGGCGCAGCCTCTTGTCCCGACGTGTACAAAGTAGCGGACAGCCCCTCTGATATGGGACAAGGATATTGATCGTGACTCGCCTTTTCATCTAGGAACGCAGAGTCATGGCACGTTTCCTTATCGCAAGCTGAGATATGCTTGTTAGGACTGAGAACAGTAAAAAATATGAGAAGACGTATCACGGTCATCTTGCTATGAAGATGGATAAGAGGGAAGATCTTAGGCACGCCGGATGTGAAATCATTGTACATATACGGTTGACATTGAGGCAATCAGGGTCGTTGGAAAAGCTGACTTCCTACCGAGCAATCTCACCAACTTGCGCTTAACCGTTCAAAAGCTATAACGAACCGCCGCACTTGTTCCACAACCTTTCACATCCCACTGGACTCACTACCTCAACCTCGTTAGATGTGACCAAACGATCCTTCGAGAAGGTTAGAGCGATGTGGAAAGACATATTGAGTTAGCGACAAGTAAAACTAAAGGCACGGATAAGCATCGCGTAAACTCGCGTGATTACAACTTTCATCTCTGCTTTGCTGGTTTATATGCTATTAGAAGCTTTAGCTCATATGCCGCACGTCGTAACAGTGGTATAGACTATGAAGACGGCCCATAGCAGAGGTACCTTCTTACCACAGCTTGTACGCTGCGATGCAATCGTCAAGACGCCTCAAAAGAAGAACCGAACTGAGACCAGGCGGCCTCGACGGTATTTGGCAGCCATACAAGTAGTTTCAACAGCGACATACAGAACTAGGCTCATTTCGACGAATGGGGCTTTCAACGACCTGACTCCCTCGTATTCCGTTGCATTTCCACAAACACTAGCAAGCTACAAGACGGAAGATGCCGTCGGTTGGCGTCGAATGGTTGGCAGTTTTGATATTGAGCGACCGTTCAGTCAGCTCCTATAGCCTCAGTCGCAGAATCGCTGGATGGGGATGGCATAAGGGTGCGTTGCGGAAATGGATCAGGGTCAGAGATCAACGAGGCGTGTTCAGGGGCATGTGCCGGTCTTGACTAAACAATAACAAGATGACCGAAAGGCGGAATGGTTCAAAAGTGGAGATAGTGGAGCAAATCTTTGGCAATGGCCTTACTGTAGCTCGTGCGTGGTCACTGTGGGTGCGGGGCCTAGGCAATTGCTTCGTCAAACAGTTAGCCACTTTGTACATGATCATGCTAACCAAAATTATAACATAACCTCAATGACATACCTAGCTAAGCCTGCTTACGTGAGACTTAATTGACGGCCGTTTTGTGGACTGCGAAGGACTGGAGCCCTGCCTCGATCCACCACCAGAGATTGACGCGCGAATCGCAGGGTTTATAATCAAAGCATTGGGAGCTGGTAGCCCCCTTCCTTGTCAAGATGTTCTTTGTCCTGCGTAAACAACTTCATGCGTGTCTGTTCTGTTTCTGATGATTTGATGGATAGTAAAGTCTTAGACTTAACTAGTCTCTCGTAAATGTCAATTTTATTTTCAGTTGACAACCCTCAGGTATCTCAAGGCGCGGACAGGCGACAGTGGACCGCGTTATTATTGTGAACGTGACAAAAGTTGCTTGCACCGAGTCACAGCTAAGATAACTAGCTAATAATTGCTGTTGTCTGTTGAACCATCTGAATTGCTTCTCTGAACAATAAAGAGATTGTATCGGGGACAATGACGTATGTTAGATATTAGCTTGGATTGTTTAGTGCTTTGACTATTACCCAGCCATTGTGTATCTTCCGGAAAGGTCCTCAAATATTGTATAGATCTACTTCATGTAAGCTTTTGATATGGCTAGTGTCGTGCTACCGAGACAGAACGGTCGCAACAGGCCCTGGTGCTCCGCTGTATCGATTACTCACTAGAGCTTAGACTTGCAGGTTGAGACAAATAGAGTGTTGTTGTGGTACTGATCAATACAATCTTATCCTTTCTACATTGAAATATTGGCCGGTGAAGATGAAACACAGAATTCCCGTTTGATACTGCCCGTAGCAGGAGAAACAAGCCAAAAAAAAAAACCTTGCTTGGAGTCTCGAGTATACCGTCGGTCGACGCGAGCGATCCATTTTGAAAAGACGCTAAATGGCTGTGACTTGGCTACGTTTGATCTAGATGAAAAGCTGGACTCGGCGGAGCTAAGATTTCTTGGTTGAGAAGGTCTTGGAATGGATGTTTGAGCATTTGAATCACGCCTTGGCGGTGTAGTCGCTGGCTGGTTTCGGGAGACGTAAGAGATGGTATTTCAGCGGAGAGATGCCAGGTCATTTTCGAAGCCAGTGGCGTCGATGATGCCTGAATGGACGCGCTGGGTGGCTCGTTGCCTTCGGGTTGGCATCCCAGCACCGCGATAGCATACTCGGCGCTATTAAAGCCAGGATGTATCAGATCATCGTAGCCGTCAATACATAGTCGGAGAGAACTCTCATCGGGCTGATAGAGTACTGAAGGATTAATACATATAGTTCCGCCTGGAAAAGCAGTCTCCCACCGTGCTGCGTAATCGAGGAAAGATCCCCGCGAACGGGTGACAAAGGAGGTAGAAGACAATAATCGTAGTCCAGAGTCTAAGGTTGCTGATACTCTGGCCCGGCCGACTCAGAGTCTAGAAGTGCCACATCGGATGAAAATACGATGGCGACTGTGGCTGGAGATGGAGGGAGGAGCCAAAGCAGGTCTTAGTGGGTTCCAAAGTCAAGAACGGAGGCCAATTCCTGACCATTAATTTCGGCCGGCCTGAATGACAAAGGTATTTCGTGGTGCCCCCCCATGTCGTAATAGGCTTCGTGAAAGCTGAAGATATTTTAACTGTTATACCAATTCCGTTCCTTCACAAACAAGGATGTCCACGCATTAGAACCCATCATGGTGAGACTATCAGTGTGTATCTGGTTATTATAGTCGACGAACGGCGGGAATATTTCAAGGCAAGACAGACCGCAGCCGCGTAAGTTGAGTATCTCGGCTAGGTGCGTTCTAAAAATTGGGGCGGCTTCCATTAGTTCTCGTTTAGCAGATTTCGTAGCCATACTAATTTGCTTAGAGTTCACCGCGTATAGCGCAAAATAATAGCGGGGAATGCAGGATTTCCTTTCCGAAAATATCGGTAATATTGGTGGCTGGCTTAAAGGTCTTAAGATTGGATGTGATCCTTATTACTTTGTTGTAGTTTCTTTGGTCGATGTCGCCTAGCGATGAATACAACGTCACGTGATATTACTCTGTCACTAGATATGAAGGAGGTGAATGCTGCCTGCGTTAGCGGTTTCATTTTTACGTCAAATATTCCGACGTCAAACTTCTGCAAAGTGCTCCACAGGGGACACGCCTGACTAGGAAATGACCGACAATGCGATAAGATCTCTGCGCTCATTATATGGCTTTAAGACCTACTACTCACACGCAATGTGGCTGCTTGAATTATCCTATGCTGTCGTTTAAATTTCCTGTCTTTGGTAATCAGATGCGTAAACGTAGACTGGTACATCGGATCTATTTGCCCAGCCAATCAGCGAATAATTGCGTATTAATTTGGACACTCTTGCATTCGTGTTGCCTACCGCGGTAAAGGTCTACAGCACTTGATGTTCATCATCATAACGAATTTCAGTATCGATAGAAACAATAATCATTTCTAATTTTTTGCTCATCTTTGAACCTTTTTCTACCACTCAACGAAAACGCATTGCATAATAGAGGTATGTTGGTGTCAGCTTGATGACGTGAGTTCTAGTTGATGGTGTCTTGCCGTACTGATTCACAAATAAGTAGTGCGTTCCTAACTGTTTATCAGCGGCAAATGGCTCGGAAAAGAAAGCTCCAGGATGACGGGCAGCTGGATGAGGAGGCATCAAAGCTGGCCGCAAACCGCAACCCAAAAAAACGACGAAATGTCTTCACTAAGTAAGGCTAACAGCCAAAGAGGAAATTAAGGAATGATCGAAATCAACAAGAACGCCGGAACGAAACAGGCCAGAAGCTGTCCGGCCCAATCATGAGTCTTCTATCGGAGAACATACAAGCGTTCCTGAAACAGGCGGAGCTCCTCAATGAGATAGACCGAGACGCTTAAAGAGACTTCGAGTAGAAAACCAGGAATCACATTGCCAACTTCAAACTAGAACGCCTGTTCATATGTGTTGTTGATATTGCACGACATATTTCACTTGAACACCTTCAGTCAATCGGATGGCAACCACCCGAGCTACTCGATATCGTGCTTTCGACTTCGAAAGAGGTACGAGAACATGAGGAAGTAAACTTAAACAGCAAGATTATATCCTTAGACCTGGAAGACACCGAGAATCTTATATGTGGAGATGACGAGTCGAATAGACTTGTTTTGCGGGCTTGGGACACATCTTTTCAGCATCGCGAACCGCTGAACGTCATGGGCACCGTAAAATCGTAGGCAATGCATGGCATCAACACACCACCAAAAGTGCAGAAACCTAGACAGATATGTTACGAAAAGCCTGACCCAGAAACCCAAGTCCAGACTCTACAAGCCTCAAAAGATCTCCAACTTCTTGTCACTCGTGAGATTTAATCCAAAACTACCGAGATGCAGGCTAAATTAGAAGAGAGTCTTACCAGGCGGATGGAGAAAAAGGAGTTTGTTTTGATGGAGACCATTAGGGACATTTGTATCTCAAGAAATCCATCAGGGCATTCAAAAGCAGATTCCGATCTTTGAAATAGCTGCAACCAAGGTTTCGATTATCCAGAGTTCGCAAAGCAATAGACTTGAGGCCATTGAGGACTCCATTGCCCATTTACAAAAGGAAATTAACGAATTCAGAAATCAAAACGCATCCTAGGCTTTGGACTACAAAAAATTCCAAGACGGTCAACACGATTGTCACAGTCAAATGAAACAGCTTGCGATACAAATAGGCGACCTCAATGAACTCCTTCATCGAACGAGACAGGTAGAACACAATCTACAGGAAATAGAGAGCGCACTTACGGAACGAATCGCCCAAGCTGTCCAGGATGTAACGTTCATGGTAGAGTCTCTTGGTTACAAAACAAAAAAAGATACGAGACTATAGCAAAAGGATATAGCCGAAGTACAAGATAAAACAGACCAGATAATAGCACGTATAAGCCAGGCAGACCTGGAGAGGCATATGGTTATGCAGCCGAAGGCAGCAAAAGTCCGAGCCAGACACGACGCCGAGATACAATATCTGAAGCTCATGGCCGAAGGAAAGGCAAAGGGTATCATGGAGCGATTGGACTTTGTCGAAAACACGAACAGTGCCCTTGAGGTGGGACTAGAAGAACAATCAGGAAAATTAGCGCACGTCACCATCGAGTTGGGTGAGCGTATAGAAAGAGGAAATGAATTTACTAAAATAGATCTTCAAACTAAGTTCGGCGGCAGCTAAGAAAAGTACAACGTTTAGATTATTAGAAGACTAGCGCTAACTATTTAGATCATAAAGGATCGACTTAGGTGCCTTGAATTTACGAAAATAAGTATAGAAAATAGTCTAGAGACGTAAATCGCGGAACTGCTATAATCTTTTAAGCTAAAGACGGTATAAAACGTTAAGTCTATAAAGGGTTTATATCGCAAGAAAATCACGACATTGAGCAAGGAGATACAAAGTCAGCTAGAGGAGTTTCAGCTACTAAAGCAAACCACTAAATTACTAGCTGGCAGGGCCGATACGATCCAGAAAACCGCCGAGGAGTAAACACAAGAACTACAAATTATCAAAGCTCAGTCGCAGGCATTTTTCCTCTAAACGGCCGAGCTTAAGGAACTAAAAACCACCGGAAACCTCTTAGAAGAAAGATCGATGGCGTCGCTGGCCAACATTGAGAAAGCAGGAACCCTGGCCTGGAGGACTTTATACGCTCAATTAAGCAGAATCCGGCGGCTATAAGAAATATTCACAGAGTCAGGGACCTTCAGAGTGAAGGAATTGAACTCGGAGACCACTCGAGAGAAACTAAGTGAGGAGAGTGCCAAAATAGACTTGTTCATTCAAGAGACAAGAAGGTCACTCGATGAACAACTAGGAGCGGTTCTACTGCGGTTGGCTAAGGCTCAAAAGGAGATTTAAGACTGGAGCGAAAACTTAAATGGAAGACGCAATGAAATTACCGAAGATATAGAAAGGTTCAAGCACGAAACCAACATGCAATGGACAAGTGCAGTAAAACGTCTAGACGATCTCGCTAATGAAACATCAATCCTCAAGCGGAATCTGCACAGCAAAGCAACTACAATTGAACCAATCTTGAGACACCATCAGGATGGTATGAGAAGAATCGCGAATGATTTAGAGCAGCTACGAAAAACAACCGAATCCCAGCCGTCAAGGCGGGAGGAGCTCCGAGACCAGTCGGGAAAGCTTGCGCTGCTTGGAGGACAGATGGAAAAGCTGGCCCAACAATTCAAAGACTTCGAAAGCAAAATTGAGACTCAACTACATCAGAATGAAAGTCTACGAGATCACGTTCAAGATCCGAAGAAATTAGCCCAAATCTCTCACGATATAAGTCAACTCAGGCTAGAACTCCAAGGTGTACAGAATACTTTGCAGGACGAACTTACTACGAGACTCAATATCGTTGAAAGTGGTGTGGAAAAGCTCAAGCATGTCACCGAAGCGGAAAATGAGACGACGAAGAGCCTGGGTCAGGATCTTCGCCACGCAGTGTTCAGCGTGGAGCACAGCTTCCGAAGCCAAACAAGCGCTCTAGAGGCCCTTTCGAGGCAGACCCATACTCGCATAAAACAGCTAGAAAATTAAACGACACATTCGATATCTACAGCAGACGAGCTCCGAGTTCGGTGCGAAAATCTGGAAATTACAATGGAGAGAATAGTAGACAAAGTCTTGACTTACTCCAATCCTTCAGTCAGCTCTCCGTACCTTGTGAAGGAAAGGAATACGGACTGTGGCCAGCTGGAGCAAGGAAGAAGCAACCCAGACAGCCAAGTAAAACGTCTAGAACCGAGAGGTGAATTCCACAATTACCGCGAAGGACAATTAGAAGCTCACAGTCGGAGTTCCAATGATACGACAGATTCAAGCGCCGATGCTGGTTCATCACCAGGTCAACTTCCAACATGTAATGTGAATGCAGCAGACCAAACCACTCGTTTGGAAGGTTGCCCAGCTACTAGTACTCCCCCAATGAGAGAACAACCAAGTAATGCGGAAAACCTGCGGAACAGGACTCACCAGCCGATGGGAGTGCGGGCAGAAGAGGAGACAATGTCAATAAACCATAGCAAGGCAGCCATAGAAATTCAAGCAGACGGGGTAACTACAGCCATGACCAAAGAATTGCAAAGCCCAGAACGACAAACGGAATCTTTGAATCTCAAAAAAGAAGTTTCGGACGAGCCAAACAAAACTACAAAGACTAAAGAAAGGGCAAGTAGCCACCCAACATCCAAGAGTGGAATCTACCCTCAAAGCGAGGATGAGGATACCCTAAAACAATTTTTTCCAAGAGTCAGTATGTTGGATTCATATGGGCTATCCAAAAGCTTAAGGGAAAAGACGACGAAATTGCACGCCTTATCAGCCACTACGAAAGGCAGCGATCGAAACACCTACAACAGTGCCAGGCTTATTTTGACCAAACAAAAGCAAAGAAAGAGCGTCTCGAAGACCAAGTCAGGCAATTGAATGAAGATTTGCAGCATGCTATTGGAGAAATCCAGGACAGGGACGACTATATTGCTTCCACCTTGAAGCCCGAGGATAGCTTCTCCTCGAACAGAGGAAAGGATCAAGACGGAAGCAACCAGGCCGCAATGGATTCTACACAATCTTCGAACAGGAAGCAGGCTATCTCAAAGCCGATGACTGATAAAACATGGTCTGAAATTGACATTGTAGAGACTAACCCTCGCTTGGAAGAAAACAATAATGCTGCGACCGCGACTAAGGTACTGCCTAGAACAAGGGTGGTCAAGCACACGCAGACATCACTTGAAAGCGCTTCACGAACCAGAACTAAAAAGTTCAAGCGCGAAAATGAGTCTCTGGGGACTTCGCGTTCTGTACCTTCGAGAAAATTAGTAATCACACCCCCTTTGGAGACCATCCCGAGCCTTAATAACAACGTCGATTCTCTCCAACCAGAATTCAATGCCAACTCCATCACTGTCAAAGAGTTGATAGAGATATTTGTTGCGTACAAAATTAAGTTCTACCACAATTCAAAGAAAGAATCTCTTATCGCTCTATTCGAAAAGGAAGTTGAACCCCGAGCTAGTGCTACATTAAGGGAACGTGCAAAAATAAAACGCTCGGCCGAGGGTATCGTTAATGTTAGATCCTACGAGCCCGTGTATCAAGAAACAAACCTGATCATGCATTAATTTGATGGGAAGTGCAGAGGCCCAATCAGACACTTCTCGACATCGTGGCCGAGCACAAAGTGAATAGAAGCGTTATACGTCAATGATCGAATTTGAGCCACACATAGGTCGAGATAGCATTGGCTGTTGTAGTAACTTAAGATACCTTACCATTGCTGTGTGCGTTACATTAACAAGGAAGCAAATCAAACTGCCAAATAGATACTATTCCCGCAGTGATGAACTACAAGATCTATCTTCTTGATGAAGGAAACTCTCTTTTGCCGTTTTGCCGTTTTGCCTAGCGTTCTGACAGGAATACCCCGATTTATTTCCTTAGTCCAGTCACAATTGAAAGACTCGGGACCTCACAAATAGTGATGCCCAAAACCTTCGATCCGGCTTCGAGAAGAGTCAAGGCCGCCCTACCGAGTCTTGCTCTCCTCCACATGAGACATTGTGCAACTTGCTCTTGAAATAGCCCAGAACGTTCTCGATAGCAGCGAATTTGGCATGAAATTTGGCATAAAGAATGAAGAGGCATACTCTGGCACTGTTTAGACCCGGGTTAGCGGGCCATCGGCTCCATAGACTTGATGCCTGGCTTAATTGCATCCTCTGCCACAAAATTTCCGGCCAGAGTTCAAGTATTCGTAGTTAGATTGCCAAGAGTTCAGTCTTAGAATCCACCAAGCTGCTTTTTCGCCAGGGATCTTCGGATTAGCGCTCGTATCAAAACTTCCCAATTTTATTAAGTTTGCTATATATATCTATTGTTCCTCCTTTTTGAGAACTGCTTGGAACCGACTCATAAATAAGGTTCAAAACGTTTCTTCACTACAAAAGATAGAAGTACTATTGCCACCAGTGAAACGACAGCACTTGAATTGATAAATTTTCTACTCAATAGCGTCCTTTCCACTTCATTACATACGCTTACATCCGTCTCTTTTTCCTCGGTCGAGGGAGCGACATATTTCTCACCCTAGAGCGCTTCATCTTTAGCGTTGGCAGGTCGCCAGCGATACTACTACAACTATGAGCTTGTAACTTAAGTAAGGCGTCGGCTATCTGCGGGAATCCCGTGATTAAAGAGGATGTATCATTATATTTTAGCCTCATGTCGAAAGGAGCACTCCATGATGGCAACGTAAAGTTCACGACGGTCCGCTCACCCGCAGCCGTATCATACTCACTGCCCGCTATTATGAATGAAACGCTTTCGAATCGAGCCGTAAGAACTTTCATAATCGATAAGTCGTCTTCGTACCGACATGCGACGAAGCCTTTGCATAGTAGCTTACCAAGTCTGGTTTTCCGGGGTGTGGTCTCGAATAAGAAATAGAACAAAGAGGTAACCAAAACCAGCGACAGCTCTTCTATCCGCTGATGTAGCTCTCGATTAACGATTAATTGCCGGTCCAACTGTCTGACCAGTCTGCCTATGGCATCTGCGTCGTACAGCGCCACCGCTTCCATATCAAGAGTGGGGTCGATGCGGAACTCATTAAAAACCTCGCCCGTCGACACACCAAGTCTCTGATACTGCCGGTGTCCCCACAGAGATTCCAGGCTAAAGTGGGCAAACCGAGATAGGGAGTTCGACATGGTGTTTAGGGTTGCCTTCATGATTCCGTTGCCGGCCGAGAGGATATAATCAGGAATCCTTTTGCGAGGACACAGCCGTAGCGCTTCGGACCGCGCGTGTAGTAATGGAATCTCTAGCCCATCATAGTATGACGATGTGGACTATCCAAGACGTTTGGCCGGAAAGTACCTGGCACATGTCAGCTCGTCTTTTACAATCTCTTTCACGATCTCCTGTGGGTACGACGTGCACTTATATAGGAGCGGCCGAAGTGATTTCGGCCCTATTTGTTGATCTAAGTCAGCTTGAATACTCTGTAGCAAAACTTTTGCAGATACTTACGCCTCTCGGACCAGGAAGGACCTCGACCTGCCGAACTCTGCCCGTCGATTCTCGTGGCCCGCATACGTGGTGAACAGCTTCGACATACTGGTTTTTGAGTCGATGGACGTTACAGCCACCTTCATCTGCTCGTATGGCTTCCGATCATGTAGCGACTTTCGCGGTCCTCTAAATCTCGCCTAGCCCGTAATGGAAGTCAAAATTGGTCCGCTGGGGCTGTAGATGCTGTCTTTGCACACAAAACGAATGCATTGCGACAGCTTCTGGCACCACTGTCCGATCTTCGTAGAAGCTTTGGGAAAGATCTTGCGCGCCAGCTGTATGAAGTTCTTTTCGCAGATATCCAGCGATGATTCCAGTACACCGATCGATAAGGCGTTGATGCCTCCTGAGAAGTCAATTCTGAAGCTGTCCTCTCTCGCGTGCATGATAGAGACAGCATACCGACGCTGGTCCCTACGGCCAAGTCAAAAAATATTTGAACAGGTAGTCCGGTCATCTTCTGAAGCATTTGCAGGATACGTAGCTGAATGATGCCCTTCACTCCGCCCCCATCAAGGGCTAGGACACGACATCCTGCCGCGGGCGGTTTGAGACGCACGGCGTATCCAGAAACAAACGCTGTCGCGCATAGAACGCATCTATCGAATATGATCACCGTTCCGGTCGTCTTCATATCGCCGTATCCGCGGTAGCACGTCTCACACAATGCACATTCACAAGGAAGAAACACCTCGGGAGACTGTACAAAATACACGAGACATTAACGGGAGGACCTGGTTACCGCGAGGCTGGCACTGTGCCGACTCAGGAACTTCACTCGGAATTTTCGCCTTTTTCTGGGTTTGTGAGACGGAGTCGGCCGACTACTACTTTTATCTCTGAGGTCACGAGTGCCTTTGCATCGGCCGTCGGCATTAGTTGTTGGTAGAAGAGCACTTTCGTTAATGCATTATGATATATTTTACTAAAAACTGTTTTTTGCAGAATCCTGTTTAGGCTAATTAGCTATAGGCACTAGAATGAGGAAGATAGTTAAATATTATCGTAAGAGGCCGCCATATCTAGTGAAAGGGCATTAGCTGGTATGGGCAATCTGATTTGTCGAAGATCGTCCATAGACGAAGCCTACTGGATCCACTCTCCCCAGACCTCTCTTAGCTAGGGTCTTATCTGCCTTAGAGGTTAGGGTAACCGGCTGATGTCGAATGCCGACGCGTAGCTGACGTCTAGATCGATGCCCGGTGTCGCCTCGGGCGCACTGGCTAACTGCCATAGAAGTCCGCGAGAGACCCGGAATAGCGTATATTAATCCTATAGTGTTTTTTTTATATTCCTCTTTTTTTTTCGTATCTTAAACCTAGGAGAGGACATTATCAGGGATCTTTCTAGACGTATTTCTATTTTGGTATACTTTTATATCGCCTAAATAGCAATAGGATTGATTTAGATGAATATATAGGCTAGATCCTTAAGATTAATGTTTTTACTAATGTTCCCGACTACGATATTTGTTACCGGATAGTGTATTGGTGGTAAGCCCTTGTATTCTGAGTTCTATATATAAAGGAGCCGACGCATAGACAGAACGTCTTTGGCGAAGAAATAAATGACGTCGCTTATAAGCATAGACCATCGATAAATCACTCTATCCGTGCTACTGCATCGCACCGGGTCCTTCTCATAGCCATGGACGCTGGCCGACTAGGTTTAAGAAAAGGTATTGTAATGGAAGTTGACTTTATTAATGATGATATGTTTCCTAGCGCGAATCACCTCGACTCCTTGACGCTTCCTAGGCGAGGGCTCGTTGTTAACTACATTAATCACGGAGGGCCTTTTTGATTGCTATATTGATGAAGGTAGACTGATGGCGGCCGACGGTGGATTTCCCTCGATAATTTGAACCCATGGGTACGGCATGCTATGTTAACATTAGTCGATCTTTGCTTTGTTTATATACACTAAAACGATAGACTCTCGCTTCTCTCTATGACTTATAGTGCGAGAGATTTGGTAACGGGAAAGGAAATTCGTAACGCAAAGTATACTTTTCCCCTGGGGCGCTGAGGATCGCAATGAACGTCGCTTCCGTTTGACTAATGCACAGACATACACAACGAGTTCTAACGAGTACCTGAGCGGGGCAGTAAGGGTCGAGGGATCTTTCCAACCAAATTGAACGCTCATATTATTTTACCGTCCTTATGTGCGCAGTATACCCAGTTTTTCCTTAATCTTCCAATCTTCTTGGCTTTCAACCCAGTGTTTGAAAGCTCTAGTCCAGGTAGGCCCAGGCTGAGCAATCATCGTCGGCGCGGGCAACTAAACATAATACTCATAATGCTGACGCAGGCGTCAGACGGGATGTAAAAGACAGATGATATGAAGGAATGGCAGACTGAAGCTAACGGTAGCCGCGTAATGACGACTAACCCAGGATGAATCTCAATACAAACCACTTACGTAATAACACAAGTGTGGTTCTACAAGCGAAACGGACATATAGAGGGGTTCAGAGGAAACCCCTATTGCGGATATCGAACTACGTGTTCTTCAACACCCTTCTTCCAAGACGTAATGAAACTATCAGATTTATGTAAATTTTGGGGGTAGCTGGAACACCACCGCTAAGTAGCGCCGGATTAGCAGGCGCTTTTGACGATTGACTCACAGTGGCTCCTGACCAAACTACAGGTGATTCTTTAATGCACTAACGAAACTGTTAACAATGCGTTGCTCAAAGTACAAACAAGATACAAAGTGAATTTATCAAACCGAATTCGGATCTATGATGTGGTAAACAGGGAGCCGTTTTAACTTTGCTTTTTGATCCTGGGTTGACTATTTCCTCATGGTGATAATCACCTAAGTACTCAAGAGTCTCTAATCTTTCCCTTTCTTTAACAATCATAGCTAGGCAAAGATTCTAGAACTATTGAAAATAGAAACACTACAACTACCTTCATCCCTTATCTTATGGGTCTTTCGTACGTGGGTGCTCAAGTAACACTACCGGAACTGACAAAGACTTAAGGGGAAGACATTAATATATCCAGCCATATTGAAACTTGCAGTTACGTTAACAAACGCCAGCATTTATCAACCATTAAAGGACACTGCCACTGCAATCTTATCTTTAAAAGAGCGGTCGAAATAAATTTAGTCGCGTTATAGCTCAAGAAATACCATGCTAGAAAGAACCAAGAAGCACCTTTCGGTTTAACGTTAAAGCTTCCTATTCCCGAGATGACGATTCCACGCAGCCCTCTTGGCATGTAGGCCCGTGCTTAATCTGGCACTGATCTCGTGCCTCTTGGGAGCAGTACGAGTGAGTATCACTTGTGACGGCTCTCAAGCGAAGCTCAGGTAGAATTGCATCATTGCGACTGTAAAGATATTTGCAATGACCCAAAGTGCTGTAGTCGAGTAGGAAGAACAAGACATCCGCAACCCCGCATCCTCTCCGCCGATGCCCCTGGGGTATTACTGATACAATCACTGATACACAACATGCAACATGGCATAATAACAATTGCCGCCACAAGCAAAAGCCGTCACCCGTAATCTCCATCGCACAGAGTTAACCCCCGCACTTGACTATGTTCAAACTGCAAATGTTAGCTCCAGCGGAAGTCGGGAGGACTTTGGGAGGCACGTCAATCATATCCAGGTACGTATAGCGACAGATCGACCATATCTTGGTCATAGGTTGGTTGAAGCGGAGGCAGTAAACTCGCCAGGCATACTGTGCCCGAAACATGATGCTTACCCCATTCTATAAAGCGTCGATCTAAGAAAGTGCTGTTGGGAACGCAGTTATCGGAACGCAGTATTTCCACTTTCTCTAGAACAGGGTGCGTCTCGCTGGTAGGATTCACTGCACGATGTCTCACATAAAAGACAAAGATCGAGGCACAAAAAGTACATAAGCCACTAAGCCACTTAACGTATTACAGCAGTCTTTTTGTTGGAATATTATGCAGAAATCTACGTCGACATTAGAGTTCAGAACATGAGTGAGTCCCCTCTATGCGGCCGACCTCAGCCGTCGACCTTTCCGGCCCGCGCCGCCGTGTGAGCGACAGGCAACCTACCTACGATCCCGTATTGCATCGTGTTTTTTAGATCAAAATCATTGTATTGAGTTGAGCGCGTGCTTGGGGCACATTGCGCGTACTGTATAGTTGAATTGTGTGCCGTATTGTGTGATTTCCCTTGCAAGCTTGATCCCGTTACGGTCTACAGGTTCTTGCACGCTGCAAACAGCGCAATCTCGACTTCTCCACAGTCCGATTTCACAATGTTCCCGTCAGCAGATTGTTGCGTCAGGATCGTTCCTACGACAGATTGTGGGACTATTACGAAAAACATGTCACTATCATGACTCCATTTCAATGCACTGTTTTAAAAGGACTCGACAGTACCGTTTGCCTTCTTCTGAAAAACGGATTCCAGAAGGGTAGTCTCCTCGATCGGTGTATCTGGAGATGTCTACTTTTCCTCAACGTGCAAATCGACGAGCCCGAACATGAAGCCGACGAAAATAATCACTCCTTCGACTGCGAACATATTGCAGCTGCTACCGGGCTTCTAACGGTCATGGTGCGCTATAGAGGGGTCTCCGTTGTCGAAGCCCACCCCTATGGACGGAAGCGTCGTCTCTAAGGATACCCTACCGGAGGGCCTCGCCCTATCAGCTAACTCAATAGTCAAAGTGGCCCTACCTCCAACAAACTGGTCCGATCGGCTCTGGACGCGCCACTACTGCTCCGCAGATAGAACAGGCTGTATTCCGAAGATTGTAGCGGTCAAAGCTGCTGGGGTCGGTCCTCGACGTTGACAGCATTATTCGAGCTGACGGTCCTCGGCGACCAGAATTTCTACGACGTCAGCCTCGGTGAGTAGAATGCGCGGTCTCTTTACTTGAGAACGACTTGTAAACGACGCTCGGTCGACGGATACAACTACGGGATCACAGTTAAGCCGGACGACAACGCCTGCGAGCCCATCACCTGTGTCGCTCCGCCTCATCTCGAGATAGAAGATCACCAGAACTGCACGGTGTGTTCCCAGTCCAATCTGATTGCTGACATGCGGACAGGTAGCGCCCCCATCGGCTATAAGTCTGACTATGCAGTGTACGAAATAGAGGAGTACTGTTGCAGGGGCGAGATTGACGCGGGCCGTTGTAGAGCAAGCAACCCTTGGTTCAAAAAGACGTGTCCGACGGCGTACAGCTTTGCGTTTGATGACAGAGACGCCACTTTCACGTGCATCTTAAGCAACATGACCATTCATTTTGATTGTGTAGATTCGGTGGCTCGATAATAAGCACGCGATTGTATTAACTACAAACACCGACAACGCACTCAGGCAGTTATGCGTACAGTGACCTAGGAAGAACGTACGTTCTTCGATCAGACACTGTGGGATCTCGATGCCTTCTTTCTAGCTGGAGAATGATGTGCCTATCTAGTAAACAACTTGTTGATCATGATCATTGTTATGGCTGTCCCTTTCCGTGCCATCTGTGGAGTTGCCTCCGACGTGGCTCACAACTTCCTTCACGCAACGCTCCTACTGCATTCCACGTGCTCGACTCCAAATTCTCACAATTGCCTCGAGGTCATTCGAGGCTATCATCCCGTCCGTCTGTGGCTGTATCAGGAAGTCGAGTAAAACGCTAGCCGCGATGATGGCTTTTTCTGCTGACGCGCGGTAGTGGGGCGTATTGCAATTACTGCATTGCGCTTTTTGTGCGTGCTCCGGAGGACTCTGGCTCCATTCCCATTGATGCCGTTCCCCGGCATCAACGTCTTCCATACACGTGGTCCCCTGACTGTCATGTCTGGGATCTCTGCGTTCCTTGAGAGGTTGTTTCGTCGGCGTTTCTGTGGGTAATGCCAAGAAACCTTGAGTCTCGATGATCAAGTCGATTTATTTCGTTTATCCAGACAGGGTTTGACGCAGACGTTGATGCGCCAGCAAACGGGACGCGCACAGTTGTTACGGTAGGCTGGTGTTGACCGTCCTGACCAGGCTCGACAGCTGCTCGGCCACGTTCGCCTGTGCCAGAATGACTGAGCAGCGATGGGTTGATGACTGGCTCCTCGATTGGAAGGGGGTTTTGGTGTTCAAGAAGGAGGACGTCGCCATTCAAGCTCAGACCCGTTGTGTCGGAAGCTTCGTACATTCCTCCGGTGTGAAAGAATTTTCCATGTTGACTGCCGTCGTGCTGACTTGGAAAGCCCTGTGACTGAGATGCAAAATGGTAGGAACGCTGTGGTAGAAGAATTGACCTTCATCATACTATCCGAAAATGGATTCCACCCCGCCTCTACCGATGGGGGTTTTTTCCCTCTGAGAATCTTGTCATTGCCTCTAGTCACTTACCGTTGCACGGCCTGATGGACCGAGACTAACCCTCTTAGCAAAAACCTCTCAGCAATCCACACGACAACATTAGCAGCAATTGGCCGGATTTCACTTATGGGACGCCGAGGCCGAGAAGGCTCTTGTTCTTTCTATTCTAAGCACTGCCCACAACAGCGCGGCTCCGAAGCCTGACTGGGCTCGCGTCACTCAGCGCATGAACCGTATTAGGTACGACTTCACAACCGCTGCTCTCAGGTAAGATACTACCTCTTCTTACCAGCTCTAACAGGACTAATGATAATGAACTTTCATAATCGGCGCTGCCAGAAGTCTGTTCTGAAGCCTTATGGTGCTCGTGTTAACAAGACCACTAAGCCGGGCTTACCGTATCGGATAGAAGCAGGTTACCTCTTTGGTCGTTAGTAGGGTAGAGGGCACTATTAAGGGGTACATAGTTAAATAGCAGACCGGGAAATCGGAGTAGATTGGCCATAGTCTGCAAGATGACATGCACAGCACGTAGCTCTTTGGTGACGAAGTAAAAACCGGAGAAGGTCAATAAGGGCACGCCATATTAAAAAAAAGAGAACAGAACGTTTAACAGGAATTAAATAAAAACTAAAAGTCGTCGTTATTTTGATCTCCTAAGCCAAGAAGCCGGACATTTTTCCAAAACATCATATCGACAGGCCGATTAAGATGTAAAAAGCCATACCCCACGGAATATTAAAGCCGGGCATAAACAATTCACTTCTCTATCTAATAATATAATTTCGGCAGCCTACATTCGTGGAGAAGTTCTTTAAGAAAAACCCCGATTTAAAAATGGAAAAAGTCCAAACTCTTAATCGACCAGGAAACCGAAAACAAACAGCCCATCTAAGACAATAATCGATCCACTAATAGGAATCAAAAAGACCCTTCTCACTAACAATCGATCTGTAACATAAAAGTCAACTTATTAATTTACGAGGTATCGATAGCTAAGTTTCAAGTAAGAGGATCAAGGAAGGAAATACCTACGGACATCTTATATTACTCTAATAATATATTATAAATTAAGTTTTATATCTTACTTTAAGTTACAAAAACTTACATTTTTTACTTCTTAAAATAAGGTTAATAATTTATAATACTTAAATTACTTTATAAAGCACACTTATTTTTTATAGAATTCTTATTATTAATAATTATTATTAAAAGCTTATATAGGACGCTAACCTCTACTATAGTTAGCGAGCTCTACTTTAATATTTCTAAACTAAAATCTATTAGCTATCGAAATTTAAATTTTATATTTCCTTTAACTAAGTCTAACTAAAGACTATATATTTTATGATATAAAAAAACTCTACGATATACTAAACTTCCTTTGAAAGATATGTTTTTAAAAGAGCGGGAATCTTATAAAAGTGGCACTTACCTCTAACTAACGCATGAGGAGGTATTTAAGATTCTCGATTAGCTAGGAAAAGGGGCATCAAGAGGATTATCAAGCTGAAGATACGAGATCGTCTAACCAACCCTACGATAACGCAGAAATAGCAAAAAGATTAAGCGAATTCCAAGTCAACATTCTTGACTAGAATATTCCCGATCTATCTACATCGGCTGTCGACAGAAACGTAAAGGAGAATATAAGAGGGCTATCCCTTTACTCCAGCGGCAATCTAGGCGTAGTAGAGCATCGGTTCAGCAACGACGGCATATCCTCGCTGAAAATGGTAAACGGAGTTCGATTGCCCGCAAGTATTTGACTGACCGTTTTCTGCAATAGCTCCAGCGCCTGGAGATCAAAGTTGTACGCGTATGTTATTATATGAAACTTCCCTCAGCTAGCATTGCACTGAATAGTACTGATCAAAGGCTCTAGTAGACATGTACTTTGAAGCGCTCTCGAACCATATGCAAGGAGATCAAGAGAAGATGCACGATTTTAGCCTCGTCAAGGAGGCCCCCTATTCGCATGCTATCTAGTGAGTAAACCGTTTCAATCTCATGGTTCCTCGCGGAAAAGTTTGCAGATTTGACGGAAATATGAGCAAATTTGGATCGGATTAAGTTTCTAAACAGATGGAGGGTCCAGGGGAACATCGAGCATAAAAGTAACCTTGGCCTATATACATAGCGGAAGCCGATTATCACTAAAGCTTGCTACATTTCTGAACCGTCTCAGAGGCCCTGTTGCTTCTCGCGAAGAAAGCCCGCAAAAAGACAAATTGAGACATACCAGGGTAGCTATTCTGCATAATGGTGTTCTGGACGTCTTTCCACAGTCTTTTCATAATAAGGAAGACATGAAAACCGGGATAACGGCATCTGGGACCCATCCCAGGGCTAACATTGACAGGGAAGGCCTCATAGATCGCATCAGAGAAGGTCATTTTTTCCATGGATGAAGGCGCTACACAGCGCTATTGGCTTTTCGCTTCCGATCCTCATGGGACGCAAATGGCTAATCTCCGTCCGGGTCATCGGCCGCACATCAGACGCACCGCCCTATTGCTTGGTAGGCCCCTTTTCTATGAACGTAGGGAGGGAGAAGAAGGAGGCAAGGGAGGGCTGTAAGCGTCGAAGATGAATCGTGCTTGGTAGAAAAAGCGCCACCATGCATTTTCGACGACGGTCTCCCGCATTATCACACCAGGTGCGGACTGGTGTCATTACAAAGAATTACGTACTTGTTTAGGGTAACGGCGAATGATACATTGATCCGTCTTCATTCGCTTATATCCTCGAATCAAATCATTGCGATGTTAGGAGAATTGGAGAAAACGGATAGTAGTGTACTTGTGTAGACATACTTGTCGCTATTCAGCACCTAATGGAACACGTAAGAGTTTTACCCGTTCAAGCTTCCAGTACTCTCTCTCTCTCTCTCCACACCATTAACGAGATACCTGATCCTTATACGGAACCTTATCAGAACTACAACTCTATATCACCACAGACGGCGCCGCCAGCACACCTTGCTATTATGCCGCGATAGAATCCAGCAATAGATTCATCAGCTACTTTGGCGGCGTATTCTAGTAAGACTGTACCTGCTCAAACGCTGTAGAGAATCGACTTCCTTGCAGTTGCCAAAACTATATACACCTGCTCTTCCCCAAGAATGAAACATGAGGATTTCAGCCATCAAACCTGCAAACGCGCTCCTCTCCAGCATTGCCCTCAAGCCACCCCATTAAATCATGCTTCCCAAGCATGAATTCGAAGAAGTCGTGCGCCCAGCATCTCCCCAAGAGGATGGAAACGTCGCCCCCGAAAGACAGTCCATCTTCCGCCGTAGTACCTATCACGGCGCACTCGCTTTCAATATTGCCGTGTTTGTGCTCCCCGCCCTCTACGGCACGCTTTCCAAGCTCTGGATTGTCAACGTCGACTCTTCCTTGGTTATTACCACGGATATGTACACTTACATTGGTGTTGTGGCCGAGGTCCTCAACGAAGGTCTTCCACGCGCGGCATGGGTAATAACTAGCGATAAGGCGTCCTGCTCCTTGGCGCAGAAGCTCTAATTAACGCATACATTGATTTTATTCCAGTCTATTCTAGGGCTTATCATAAGTATCGCATTCGTGACCGGCACAGAAACATTCGCCAGAGGCTTTATCCCAGCCGAAGTCCGCAACGTAAGCATCACCTACGTCCATATCGGAGCATTAAGCGCGCTAAGCAGTGCGATAAAAACTACTATCTCATCGGCCACGAGAGCACTGGATCTTCCTGACGTGCCCCTCATCATCAGCTCTATCAAGTTCGCCATCATCATCGTTCTGGACCTGCTGTTCATTCAATTCCAAGGTGCACGTTGGATCGCACTGGCCGACAGTCAATAAGCAGGCAGGGATCCAACTCGCATGCAACCTCGCCTCGGCTTTTCTCGGTCTTGCGTACTTCCTGTGGAAGAACAGCTTTTCTTTTCAAAAACGCAGGCGTAAGAACCACGATAAAAACGGGACGACATGCCCAAGTGCGAACGCGCTTTTCATCCTCCTCCGTTCCGGCGCCTTAACTTTTATCAAGTCGGCGATCCGCAACGCACTCTATTTCTAGCTAATTACTAATATCGTCTCCATAAGATCGACTTATATAACGGCGTAAGGCCTATTCAACACAACTCGATAGGGTCTCATGATGGTTCCCGTTTAAGCCATAGAACAGACGTCCTTAGCCTTTATCGGCTATACATAGGGCGCCTAGCGATCGAGCATAGGCGTTAAGACTATACAGCCAAAGGCAAAGAGGAGCACTATCCTTGAGATTACCAGACCGGCTTTTAATTCTCTCGCTATAATAACCGCTATTAAGGTATCCATGTGTTTGTTCCTGACATACTTCGGAGCTCGACCATTCGCGCGGTATTTCAGCGGCTCAGACGAAGTTGCTGGTGTGACTACGATGATATGGCGAACAATTGACTAGTGCTACATCTTCTACACCATGTCGAGGATGCTGGCGACCATCCCACTGGCTACTCGACCGCGATGGTATCTCTGGCAGAGTCTAGCTAGTAACATATTGTACGTGCTACCGTGGGCGATTGTGTGCCACATTTCTGCCGATCGAGCGCAGACAAATCACAGTCTAGTATTCGGCGGAAGTCTCGTGTTTAGTTTCGTTAATATCGTCATTGTTGATGGTCTCTGGGTCTGGACCCTGATAACGGGTTAGATAAAGCTTGATGTGTTCCGTGGGTGAGTGCCTGTTTCCTATTAATGTTGTATTCACCCCTGGGAGCCAAAATCTGAGTCCATATTATTGAAAGTAGTAATTGACCGTGGGTTTGCCGTGTCTCTCGAGCTCTGGTTTAAGGAGAATATTCTGGTCAGGTATATGTTCCCCCATGAATTATCAAAGGCCGAAAACGACTTTCTGCTCCCTCGACCCGCCACAATACTTCAATAATATGCACTGTAATATCTTGCCGGGCTTCTGGCCTTTAGCGCTGGAATCTTGTCTTCTAGGAGTTGTCAAGACCGATTCTAAAGTCTGCCAAAACAAATCGTTCGAAACTCTTGGCTGGTGAAGCTTCTCGTATACACACTATGTCATCTAAGGTAGGTCCTCGGCAATAATAGGATTCCTGTGCTATAGTGATTAAAGTCAGTAACAAGAGTAGTAAAGCACCGATTGTTACCTCACGACAGTTTCAGACTACTGTAGGAATGAGATCTATAATTAAATTTGCGAGACCGATTAATCTGGTGTGACTGAACTGTCTGGCGCGACTGAACTGTCTGGCGTGACTGGGCTGTCTGGCGTGGTATGCCAAATAAATTAGTTTATTACCGACTACAAGATAGCAATTGATGGAGCTGAAGAGATTTTGCATCGGTTCCAGTCGGGAGACGACTGGGTAGGAGCGTAGTAATTCGCTTCTACAAGCTCCCTTATGCACCACGTAAAACGTTGCTTTGTCGCCAACACCGGGCCAAGCAGCATTTCTAATACATCGTGCCAATTAAACACAGTCGTGATGCAGCAGACAAACAGCCGAGTTAGTCGCTCTTGAAATATTCATGTTAACTCGTCGGTCCCGCCACTTGCTACCGTTTTCCATATAGGCTATGCGAATCACACTTCACTAACTAACCACTGGCACGCTTTGCCCCAAGCCGGACGAGACCAAGATATCTTGCGTGTGCATCGGTGCATCTTCAAATAAACACAAAAGTGGCTCGAAGTTGACACGCCGATGATAACCTGTCCCGGAGCGAAGAATCTGCGCCTCTTGCGGTCGGTCTGGCTGGTATGTTCCTGGCAAAGACGTGATCGAAGTCGAGGCGGGGAGCTCTGCCGGGGTGGGGATAACGGGATAGTTTATTAAACTAGTTAGACGAATAGTCCTGTTGCATCATGCAACATGGTCATGCATCTATAGGGATAGAGGCCCGTGCTCACATAGGCACATAGCATTGCAATACTAGGGTGTGCACGGTAGAAAAAAATAGTAGAAATGGCGCGCTCAGCCACAGCCCAGTGGGCCCACGGGCCACATCAGGTGCCCAGCCACACTTGGCTTGACAAGGTCTTTGGCAGCATAGAAGTGATGGACAGTGGTTCGAGGCACTTGTAGCGCAAAAGCAAAGATAGCGGTGCCTTCATAACGTCATTGATGGGAATGGGTTGATCACACCAATCGCATACACTGCGAAATGTCATTAAGAGCATCTGTGGAGAGTGAAGAGGAACTCAGACCGACGGCGTGCTTTGAGGGCTAGCGTGCATCACACAGCGCGGCAGAGATAACGCACGGCGGAGGCAATGACTGAGAGAAGGGTGCGTTCACGGGTTCGTAATTGCTTCGCGTTCCCGGGAGTGGGCATGCTAAGGGTCCTCCGCACCTGAGTAGTGTAGACAACTTCAGCTCGGCAAACGAAAGACTGGAAAAACGTGCGAGATCTGCGAGCAGGTGGGGTGGGCAAAGGCAGGAGGTTGGATTGAATTCCAGAGCAAACTGTTATGGTGGGCCGAGCTCCAATGTCCTAGGTTGGTACAGTGGCACTTGTCCGCGTCGGAGTTTCCCAATCGAGGCAGGCCTCCATATGCGAGATCATAGTCACGTGCTGATACGATCGAAGGGATGGGTGCCTTTTTATCGATAAGCGATAAGGTCCGCTTTTGGGTAACTGGGCAATTGGTAACAAGATGGAACCCTCTTGTTCTTCAAACTTTGAAAGGTGTGTGCACTTGAGATGCTCATCTCATGAACATGCCTTGCACCCGGATCTCAAGTGTACGAAAATGAACCCGTTCGTTTCAACATCGGGATCTCGTGTGGAAGAATAGAATGGTGTGGTGCAGAAAGCCGAGCCTCCTGAATGCCTTCCAGGGCAGCGGGGGGCCGAGCTGGCGCTCCTGCGGCGCTCATTCAGTATTTGTAATCGCCACAAAGCACGCACACGCATCCAATTCCAGCATCACATCATCTTGCATTGCATTTCGTCCGCCATCTCTCTACCTCCTTCACAGATCGCGGACTTAAGAGCACTCATCTGACTTGAACTCCACCGCAGGCATCGACGACGGTGGAAAGGGGCCCTGCACTTAAGAACGACGAGCGCACCTTGAATGCAGGATAATCACTTCAAGTGGTCACAGTATTTGAACGCAGCGCATGCATCCCTCGGTGCTCAGACGCCCGTAATCAGGGGATCAAGTACCTACCAGGAGGCTCCTAGCTGGCCGTGGGGGGAAGGCGGTCGTGGACGGTAAAACCAGGCAGCATTCCGCTCAGCTCGACGTTTCTGGATGGCGAACCAGCACGGTTCATTTTGATGTGCCCTGATAAGATGTATTGAGATGTTCCACGCATCAACCTGAAGGAAAAGCAAACACACGTCGCGTACAAGCTTGTATCGAAGCTCTGAATTCAAGTACCGAGGCCTGTTGGAAGCGCCAGACGTTCCGGCCCCGGATCGGTACAAGCATGGGTCCACTATAAATCGGCACGGACTCACAGCCGCAGCATATGGCGCACACGGTACATGAACGGGCCGAACCGCACTAAGGTCGCGACTGAATCAAGGTGTTCGTCAGCCCTGAGGGACACGAATCCGAGTGCGTATGTTTATTCTGTCACAACACACCACACGAGAGCAGCGAAAGCCTATGTGACCCCCCTCAATCCCGCTCCTGTCATTAGCCAGAAGGCGCCCGTCTAGTTCAATAGATCAGGTCAAACTGGCTGGGTAGGGGAGTGTCCAAGGTCAACAACCAATTACACGCCCAGAGCCTACTCGAAGACAGGCTCCGAGTTCGAGTTCAATTCCAAGCATACGCACCAAGAGACGTGGCATACCTACCGAGGTGGAATTCTTTTTGCTCCGTCTTCATCTACCTTTCCCCCCCTGCCGCGACCAGCTTCTCCTGGACGCCACAGCCCACTTCATCACTGAAGCCGTCGCATCATAAACAGCTACCAAATCTGAAGACACATGCAACGACTTAATCTCCGGGCATCGGCCAAAACAGCATAAACAAGACATGTTGTCGTCTCCCTTGTGTTACGTCTGGACTCTCCTAGCGGGCACCCATCCCTCACTCACGGAATGAGTGGCAGCCAGTTTTTGACAGTCTCGCTCTATCACGTCTCTAGCTCACTTCTGCACGTCCGGTTCTTTGAAGTTTTTTTATCCATGTTTTGTCCATGTTTTGTCCAGAAGTGACCTAAGTAGGCTCGGCTATGTGATGGTAGATAATTGCTCCCAAGAGCAACGCGTTGATTTCTGCATTGAAATTGACGGGGCAATTAGATCAAGAAAATATGGCAGCTTCGAAATAAGCTGCTGCTTCCTCCTGATGGCCCAAAAGTCTCTGGTCTCTCCTACAGTTACCTGCCGAAGAATGAGAGACCTGAATACATCAAAGTGATACCACTCTATGGTGGGGTACCTCGAGCGAGCCATCCTCTTCCTGCACACTTTCCTGCAGCCTGCCATCGATCTTCTAGCCCCCTTCCTCTTGTGATTACAGCACCTTTCATCTTATCTTCTCAAAACCTGGAGCCTTAAATCTAAGCTGGAGTGTATCATGGGTGAGCATCTCTCAAAATCGATGCGCAATACTGTTCCAAGTTGTGTGCGGATGCGATGTTGGGGGGTAATGTTGGCCCAGGTGCAAAGGTGCAGGTAGTCTTACCTCTGTTTGGGCTCCTTACACCCATAATCTCAAGTCATGTTACTTACGACAAGAATAAATTTCATGAAATCCACCTCTAAGAAAGTGCCTGATGAATCGTTGGACTGTAATAGTCGCCAGAGGTTGGGGATTTGAAGAAATCCGGCCTCGAAAAGTGAGCGAATACTAGCCTCGATGTCGCAAAGAACAATGCATGAGAGCAGAGATTTTGTCTTTGTACCTCAATCCGGGTCTTAATACTGTTCGGCAAGGGAAGAAGGTAGGTAGAACATGATTCGAAACCGAGCCAGACATTCCGAGCCAGGGTAATCGGAAGCAGGCCTGGTTTCTCCTACCTTCTCAACAATACGCTACGAATAAGTAGAGCATTAGGTAGATCACTTAACACTTATCAAAGACTCAGTTTCTATGATCTGGACCAGTAGGTCGCCGTGGCTAGACGCAGGTCGCAGCATGCCGACTAACACGTGTTGATCACAATAGTTCGGCGGGGCTTGAGAGAACTTAGTCCCTATTTCATTGTCTTGTCTTCTGTACCAAGTTGTCAGTTTTTCTTCGTACAATGCAGTAGTCTTCCTTCAACATCGCAACTCCAAAGAGCCTGAGTCAAGTTACGTCATGATCTATAGTTCTTAATCTTGGCCGGCGTTCATAGTAGTCTCCAGTCCCATCCGGTCCCAACCCCAATCTTCTTTCTATGCTCTTTTCAATAATCTTGAAGTCACGATGGGAAAGAGATAATGACCTTGTTCATAAAGTATCAATACGAGTCGGCAGTTTCATCTTTTCTCAACGCCTTATAGGGGACGGGGAATACTCTGAAGGATGAGTAGGAAAGGGAAACAAATCATGAGGAATCTAGAGCTCGCACAGATAAAAAGATTCAAGAACGCGACAACATATGGTTCTTCCCTATAACTAGAGCTTTTTATAATGATTCGAGTTATGCTAATAGATGTTAAGTGAAATTGAACATAGGCCTCCCGTTTATTGCGCGTCTCGGCTCAGAGTGGAATTGGAATGCAGGATATGTCCCCGAAGTTGAGTCCGCTTATGCAGAGCAGCCGAACTCAAGTTCAGTCATATGGAGTCGAGTGGGAATGCTAAATATACGCTTGAACTCAAGCCCACTACTTGAACTCAAGTTCACTTATTTAGAGAGCCCGAAATCAAGTTTACTCTAAATGAGTGGACTTGAAATGCTGGGTGGATACCTAACTGTAGATTTACTTATTAAGAGTAGGTAAACTCAAGCTCACTCGTTTGGAGTGAACTTGAAATACCGCGTGTGGACTTGGACTCAAATCTACCCATTATGAGTGGACGTGAGAACTCGCCTGAACTCAAGTCCTCTTATATGGGATGGACTTGAAACCTTAGCTATGTGCCTGAATTTGGGGCTTATAAAGATTTAAGCCGAGCATCGGGCTATTAATGCGTTGCTATTATATGGTGGACTGTTATGTTTTATTTAAGATTCGGCTGCTCCTGTTGACGGCTGGCTGCGCGAGGCGAATGAGATTGAAATGTGGACCGTGATTTCTGTAAAAGCATTAGTTTGAAAGCCGATTGCGAGCGATTTTGTCATCCAAGAAAAAATTCCCTTACCACCTTGTATGAATTACTAAGTCATGGAAGTTCGAGTCACCCGACTGCCATCCCATAGAGTGTGTCGTCTTGGTTACGGAGACTTTTCCGGTCTGCTGCTTGGGTATTGAAAAGCTTGTATCTTAACCTTGTAGGTTTTGTAAGTGTGCAAGGCTTGGACCTCAGGGACAGCCATAGCTTTTCGTTGACTCGTCAATGTCCATTATAGCGGATCACATTCCACTATATCGTGCATTCGAAAACGGTGTCATCTGCGGTGATCGATCTTGGTAACTATGTTTTAATCCTTCCTAATTATGAAGCCACCCTTAAAGCCGAACGCTAAGTCGATCTTGTAATGCGACTGATTACCAAGCCAAGAGCGACCCCGAGATCGTCGAAAACTTGAAGATGATACTTCCAGCCCCCACCAAAAGTCCTAAACAGTTCATTAACCACTTCATCATGGCTTCTTCACCACTTCAAAACATCGTCGTCCTCGCCGCCAGCGGAAACATTAGCAAAGCCGTTGTCAGCTCTCTTGCTCAAGAAAACTTTGCGGTAACCGCTGTGACACGCATAGCCTCTACGGCCACGTTCAAGGAGCCTCAAAGTCAAGCACCTCGAGAGCAATTATTCCGAGGCATCGCTACTCCAGATTTTTAAATAACAGGATGCCGTTATCAGTAATCTTCCCAGTATCACTGCCGGGGAGGCACTATCGACTCAGAAATTTCTTATCGACTTGGCCATCAAAGCAAACGTCCGCTTTTTTTGTCCCCTCCGAATACGGGATCGATACTTCCACAGATTCCGCTGCCGAATATATTTCGTTTCTGCAAGACAAGATAGAGACTGTAAAGTACCTTCAAGCACGAGAGGAGAAATTTTCCTGGTTTGCTGTGATCTCTGGTGGCTTGTTCGATTGGGGTCTGAATATTCTTGGGTTTGGTGGTTGGAATGTTGCTGCCAGAACGGCGACAATTTTTAACGGCGGCAACATTTCTTTCGAAGCAACGACCGTATGTCAGGCCGGCAGAGCAGTTACTCTAGCTTTAAGACACCCCAAGCTAGTCCAGAACCAATTTATCTTCGTAAACAGCTTCACAACCACACAGAATGCTGTTTTGGAGTCTCTAGAGAGGCACATTGGTGCTCCGTTCGACGTTATTCCTAGAACTGTGGAAGAATTATAGGATTTAGGCCGAGCGCAGGTTCAAGTTGGCCAGTCCTACGGGGTATTAAGAATAATTGCGGGTGCCGTATACTGCAAGGGTGGCTTATATAAATACTCTACCTTGCAAGGCTTGTGGAAGGCGAAACTGGGCCTTGAGGGCGAAACCTAGATAAAGTCATCGGTAGCTTCCTCGCATACTATAATGAGAAGTGGTGTGGATTCCTCGTTAAAAACAATGAAGGGAATGTTGTCGGATGCCTGCATCACGAGTTACTGTAGTGCAAATAACCAGCATGACCTAGCATCCTCGCTCATAACCCTATTCCCCTTGGTGAGCCACAATGAAGCACATGCTACAGACTTATGAATGTCACAGTCGATTGCGGCTAGTATCAGGCTACCTAAAGTGGTGCCACGACAGGGCGGGCCTCTTTGCCTTCGCGTACCGACAACCTACATGCTATAAGGTATTTATGCATTATTACGATTGCAGAAGCGCCGTTGTTCCCTTTCCTCAAAATTCTCTATTGGTAGATGCTTACCACTAAACGACCTTGCTGATCCCATGAAATCTTTTCCGAAAACGTTCTCTGCACCAGCTACCTTCGATATGCTCTACTCGCATGTCATTGCTTTAGATGAAAGCCAGCAACGAAAAGCCGTCGAGAAAGCTCCAGCGACCAGTAGGGGCCGGCATTGTTCTAGAAATGACTGGACTGGAGTATGTCAAGAGCATGAAAGGAAGAGACATGTCAATAATGAACGCCAAGGCAGCAACTTGCTCAGAAGTTTTGTCCGGCACCTCCCTAAGCTTATTACAGTCTACAGAACATCGTTTCATGTAAGCCAAGTCATCTTGCGTAGTACGCGAAGCTTTGGAAAGGCCGATAAGGTTCTGGGTAGAGACACCCCCGGGCACACCTCTCTGCCCAAAGTACGTTGTAAGTGACAGAAAGACCTGCCGGTAGGATGGAGCCAGTTCAACCAATACGGCCCTGCGCGCGATAAAGTCCTCGAGAAGAAGATCCCAGTCTGGGCATTGTTCTGTAATCGAGAGAGAGTTGACTAGCGGTACAGAGTATACGAATAGCGACGACTTCGCGGCATGGAAATCGATGGGCCAATCGAGACAGTTCCCCGATTCTAACTTGGGAATAAGCTGGGTGACATACACACGGCGCGTTACTTAAGCTTTGAGTATGCTAGACATGACACCTTCGTCGTTTCGCTTTGGTGGCTGGCCCTAGATAATGTCCAAGATACCAGTAGAGTTTGAGCAAAGAAGGTATAGTGCACACGGCTGTATGTAAAATAACGCCGAGAATCGAACCCATAAACGCGATTAGTGCCGTATCCCCGAGGCGGAGAGGATTGCCAGTGGTGTCCTAAATATCGGGACTGACTTGTACAATTTCGAGCTGTACAGCCCCTGTGGGCACAAAGCCAGTGGTCTGTGGTTTAGTGAATCATGTCAACAATGAAGAGAACAAAATAGCTGGAGATAAGTTGTTTTGTGAATGAATATACGAAAACATGACGTAAGGGCGTTTCAGATGATAAAAAATTAAAAGCAGGCTGTTTCCGAGAAAGTTTATGGTAGCGGCATGCAAAAGAAAGCTTGAAACAAAGTCCTATTACTACAGTAAGTGTCATCTGCTACATGCTTCCTCACACATGATACCAGGGATGTTCGCATTGGTGGGTTGAACGAAAACAAACCGTCTGAAGGTAGTAGTGTGTCTCTATCGCCCGATTAGGTACAAGAAAGACCAGTGATACGTTAAGTATAGAGAATTGTGTTTCAGTTTACTCCAACTCAAGAGCACTTCAATTAGGTGGACTTGGGTTCGGTTTCAAGAGAGCTCCATTAAAATCCACTTGAGTCAGGTGAACTTGAGTTCGATTTAAGATAGTTAGGATACCTTAGATAAATTTGAGTTCGCTTAAGTCGGGTGGACTTGAGTTCAATATTTGAGGTGCTTAACTTTAGGAAATAATGACGCAAGTTCTCAGCTTGGTTTGGTATCTATTCACGTTCACCCGAGTAGTGATCTTGGGCTTTGGGATAGCTAGAACATGTAATCAACTATGACTACGCACATATTTGACAAGTCGTTGCGAAGGTGCCTCATTATACAGGAATAATATCCCCTATCAATTCACCTAAACCTGCCCAGGCGTTGACCCAAAATTTGAACGACAAAGGTAGAAACAAGCCTAGTGTCATTGATCTCCATCAGCTTCTCCAAGCTTAGGCTCCCCACGACTAAAAGAGCTTGCGTGGGCTTGATATCGAAAAACGCTTATTAGTACCTTGCTAAGATTGTTAGTACTGTTTTCCCTTTATAACATTAGGAAAGCTGGATATGTATAAATGGTACGGAATTGAAATAGAGTGTATCGAACTTATCCCTTGATAAGCGGTATCCGTGGGCTAATTATGACCTTCAGATTTGGCGTAGTAATTGCCCTATTAGAGACTGATGGCCAGCAGGCAAGTATAATGTCGATATAACAGAACGAGCTCAATGAGACTTACCATCATCAGCCAGGGGAGCTTATGGCTAACCCCGAGAAGTACCATTTTCTCCTTTAATCATGTGCCTCTGGAGCCAATATATCTATGACATTTTAGCTTATCGACTGCACCTATCCAGTCGCCTACAAGTTATTATGTGACCCCTGAGCCCATCTCAAGTGAGCCTCCATGACGCCTCCGGAGGTGCTGATACCTCACTCTACGGCCTGTGTTAATGCATCGACGGGGATTTGAACTTTTAGAATGGTTCTTAATTCTTTATTGATGTTGGTTAAAATCCAACTTTCTAAGCATGGCGTTGTTGACCAGGATCTATGCAAGATCAAACATAATCTTGCAAACTGCTTTTCATGTGGTGGCATACCTGAGAGTTTCAAGGCCGGATCATCAGGGGAGCTGTTGGTATTACTTTCATAGGGTAGTTGGTTCGAACCACGTGGTCGTCGAGGGAGACCACAGACGAAAGGTAATTGATCCACATTGAACTCTACGTAGTGAAAAGGAGAGTTGTAACCATAGGTCTGTTAGGCTGTTAGAAGTTGGTAAAAGGAACCGTTCGTGGCGCCGGTGGCGGCCCTGACTCACGATCGGCTCGGGCTTCTAATCCTATAGGAATCGTCAGGTCAGTGCTGCTGGTGGTATAGAATTTAAGAACGACTTTAAGACAATTATTGGTTTACATCTGGCCTCCGTTAGGCGCTGTTTTCGGGCAGTTCAACACCCATCTCGTAGTCCATTGGCCGATTGTGTCACCAATTGTCGCGGCCCGTAGCAGCTTGTAGCATTAGGCGGCCAAAGAGGAATCGCTGGTCGTGCGTCATATTATACTAGCAGTAGGCGGGGCTCTATATGGAATACAAGGAATCTCCATCGGGTGTTCAGTCATAGTGGAAGTCATCATCGGGTCATTGCCGTTGTGCGCCTTCATCTATCAAATCCTGCATTGAGACATTTTACACAACCCAAGAGGTCATCCAACTCTCGTCACGAGTTTTTCCCATTTCTTTCAAAAGGCTAAGCGCTTAGTCACGATCGGGCAGAGTCATCACGTCAAGCTTATTGTATGGACGGATATTATTAATCGAGTCCGGTCGGTTGCAGTTATGAAAGGATTGAGTTACTGGTCGGCACTAGCACATGGGTAGTCAAAACAGCCGGGCTCACCAGTGCACAAAAGTTAACTTTTGGCCGACTAAGCGGGGCCGCACCGGTGAACGGCACCGGTGAACGGATCGGCCCAATTGCACAAACTTTAACTTGGATACGGCCGACCACTGGCAGTTGCCCACTTGAGGCACGGGCTCCACTACACAACCACAGAGGGCTGTACTCCGTAGCATTTCCCAAAGAGTTGGCCTCGGCCACAACGCATGCTTATTACAACCATAATCATTTACCGCTCGTTCTGAGATTCCGCATGAATGAGAAACTAGCCTGAAAAGTTCTTGCTGTCATTTGCTGAACGTCATTCACATTGCGCTGAGGCAGGTGGGATGTTTGTTGTGCAAAAGTGAAGGAAGGAGAGGTGGAACGTGCCCCCAAAACTGCTTACATAATGTGGCTCAGGCGGTGCAGCCATAAGGCCCATAATTCAGGCCGTCAGCCACGTGCGCCACAATGCCATTGGTGCAGCTATGTAACCCGGCCAACGGCCCCGCGTCTGTCGCATGCTCCTTTATCCATACCTGAGTTAAGTCAGTTGTCACACTTCAGTAAGCCGCGTTGCAGGGCGCCCTCCACACATCTACTGCACGTCGTCTCCCGGAGCGTTTACTAACATATGCGTCGCAAATATTACAGTTTTTCTCGACACTCCTCAATTCTCAATCCTTCTCACACGCAGTCGCCGTCGTATTTACCATCGCCGTCGCTCATGCTAGAAAACAGCGTCATTCTCGATTGGCTGTGCACACTGCCACCAACTCCCGCTACTGCCCCTCTGCCTCTGCCTCTGCCAGAGCAGCCAGGCGTGATTAGCCGCAAACGCAAACGAAGCTCACTGCCTTCGTCCCCTCACCGTCTGCCGTCGCCGCCATTGAGCTTTTCTCAGAAAGAATCTTGCGCCGGCATCCATGTCCAGGGCACGATGGAGGTCTGTCCTGACCAAGGTGCCATGAGTTCCCACGAACCCGATATTTCTACCCCTCGTCGCAACTTGGCTACCCATTTACCACCGAACCCCGATGCCGATCCTCCCGATTCTGACCTCGAGCCGACCCCAAAGGCTCCGCGACTTAATACCTCCTCCCGAGCTACTCGCCAGATTCCCCAGTCCGACACAAGCAGCATTGCTTCTTCCTCCGCCGCCAGCCAGTTGTCATTCCAGACAACATCGTCGGCGTCCAACGCGTCAAAGCGGAAACGGCAAGCCAGTCCGCGGAAGCACTCGAACCTCATGGCCATCGAGAATTCCATCTCCGAAATGAGTTTCGACGGCCTCACCGTACCTCCGCCTGCGCTCAACAACATCCTCAACAGCATCGAGATTCTAGGTCGGGGCATTGGAATCGTTTCACGAACACAAGAGGTTGTTGATCCGCCCTGGACCTAACCCAGTCCTTTCCCAAGCTTCTTACTGACTTTGCGAATCGAAATAGGCAGCTCTTCGCTCCAAGGCCGAGTCAAACCGCCAGTTTCGTTGGGTCCGAGACGACACATTTGCCCCGGATCTGGCCAGCCCCACCTCGACATTACCCTCGTCCATCGGAGCTCAACCCCACCGCGACCAACTTGGTCCGACCCCCGACTTTGACACAATCAACGAGATCTGGTGGGAGGCCTTTGATGCAGAAACGGTCCGCCACGAGGAAGGCCAGTGGAACTCCGCGGTTCACCGACCGCTGCTACATAACGCGTTGAAACATATTCAAAGCATCGGGGTATGCAACTGGTAGGTTCGCCCTTGTTTATGACGTCCCAAGGCACTTGTCTCGTGGGCTCGGGCTTGACTGACAGCAAGCAGCACATCGGCGCAGATCCACTCTAGCTATACGAGATCCGATAAATCCGCCCATCATAACAAGAAGGTGGACTTTTGTGTGTATGTCAAGGAAGAGTCCGAGCAGCTCAAGGCCAAAATCCCAACAACGCCCGCGCAATCAATCAATCACACCGACTATCCCGGTCTTCTCCAGAGACCTATCGGGCTTTCAATTGAAACAAAAATCACCGGCCATGAGTGGGCCAAGGCCGTTAATCAGATTGCAGTCTGGCTCGTCGCCCAGTGGGATGCTTTAGACGACCTTGCAGCACCGTCAGACGGCAGCCATAGTACGCCTCGCAGCGTTTCTTCAGCAGCAGCAGCGGGTCTGGTCTTTCTCCCTGGCATTATTGTACAAGGCCACGAGTGGTGGTTCATTGCCGTCACAAGGAAGCCCGACGGCAAGACAGAACTATGGACCAAAACGCCGATCGGGTCGACTACCACCATGCAAGGCATCTACCAAATCTCGGCTGTGATCCAGCTCCTCGGACGCTGGATTGAGACGGAATATTGGCCATGGTTCCAACGCGCCATTCTTAAGCAAACATGATTTATTAGATACTCCTGTTTTCTTTTCAAAAAGAAAAAAAAAAAAAGTCTTAGATGCCAATTGGGTTTCTTTGCATTCTGGCTACGCATTCCATTGCGGAGTATCTTTTAGACATGGGCCCCAACTGTTCCTTCGTGCACATTGCGCATCTCTCTTTAGCATGCGTATGAACAAGGAAAATGCATCTGGGACAACCTATAAGTCGTTGTGATGCCTCCTGCACACACGCATGTGCTGACGCCATGCTGCACTCGATGAAATAAGGGTCTTCTTAGGAGCCCATGACGGAGTTGGTGATTACACTGTCGATGTCGGGGACCCGAATCATAATCGGTGCTGGTGGTGCGGGCCTCTGGCTGACGTTCTCTGGGCCGTCAAGATGCGCTCTATTCTCTCCTGCTTCATTCCTTTTCTCAGGTTCATGGCCGGACTAGACAGTTCTTAGCGCGTGGATTGGTGAGTACCATTATCAAGGGCAATATCAAGAGACGTTGGAATGTGACATTACTTTGTTTGATTCTATGATGCGTGACAAGACATCGAGATAAACTCAGTAAGACGCAGGCGCACCACCTACCGCAAGGAAGACCATTGCCGAAAATGACTAATTTCTATACTTTCAATTTTATCGCCGTCACGTATTGAACAATCGTCTTGGAAGAGCTTAAGAATCGTCTGAAAGGGTGGGGAAAGTGCCTTATTATGAGTTAATACCATTCCGGAATTGCCCCATATAAAAGGCGATGCAGGTTACGAGTACCGCTTAGCACAACTCAAAGTAAGCCATTCATATTAATTGAGGTTACGCCTCGAGCGATTTCTGGGAGGAACAGAACACGTAAACAGCCGCTAGAGAAAAGTAAAGATGAGCTTTATAGTACGCCATATTGGTTCCCATCGTTCAATGCACCGGCGGCTGACCTTAATGCTCTGAGCTCGCCTACCCATCACCCAGTGTCCAACCAGCATGCCAAAGGTAGGCACGGACAAAGGTGGAATTTATTCTCTAAGCGCAGCGCAAATTTAGATATGCTCGGAAAGGGGCATGCAAGGGCCATGAAAGACAAGAGGTGATTCTTCCATTTCCCATTGTGCGCAAGACACTCCTGTCTAGCCTTTCTAAATATCACTGGCACAGATTTTATCGCTGCGGCTCCAGAAGCTCCAAATACCTTTTAAGGTAGGAGCAGCTTCGCGAGTATGAATCTTCGAGTGGTATGTAAAGTCGATTGTTCTCGAGATGGCTCTCCTATAATAAAGTAATTAAGATCGCCGCTACTTAAGATATGCACCGGTCCAAACCACGAAGTAGCTAACTTCTGAGAAACTGTGACAGTGCCAGCAGACGCAGTAGCGTGATGACTGGATTATCTTCAGTAATAGAATTCGCACCGCGCCCAGTCAAGAACTCGAATGCATCCTCACGATTATAACCAAGAGCCAAATGAAATATAGCTTCACCACCTGGATCTGTCCCTCAATCTATTTGTGTCGTTGTCGAGAGACAGAGCTTGAAGATGGTAAGCGCGTCGTAGGCTGCTTGTATGGGCGCCCATTCGCTTTCGTTGTGTGGCTGAATGCTTCATAGGCGATTGAGTACGCAACGGCTACGTTGTGGTCGTGATATGCCAATGTATCCAAATATGAATTCGTCGCTACGCTTGCCTACTAGACTTCAGATATAAGCAGCCACAGACGCAAAAAGTTTCTCGATTACGTTTAGCTGACTATTACCTTCCACTGCCGCGTGCAGATATGTTTAGTGTTTTGTATTATGCTATACGGAACAACGGTAGAAATAGCCTTGTGGAAGGTTCTGCGCCGCTTTCTCTTATGCCCAAGCTGCGGTGAAAGCCTCAAGTTCGACTGGCTCTCCCAGTTCTGCTAGGGTGGTACGTTCAATACCCGGTCGTATCTTTTATTTTAGAGCGAACCTCGCTTCTATTTTACATTTTTAAAGAATAATCGATCTCTTTTACTTGTGTCGATGCTTATATTGTGATCTTACTACAGAGTACTAATGAGGTAGTTATTTAAGTTAAGTGAAATGTAGTTTAAATTGAAGATCTTCATTGATATTACTTTTTGAAGAATTTAACATCGTGGACACAGGAACCTAGACTGTACAATCTTATATAGATTAAGACGAAAGGATAGAGCATACCCTAGGCTGACTTTGCCTGTGCCTGACCACGTCGTCGAGCCCGTTGAGAATTAGGAAAAGTAGTCGCACCGGGATGATTAATTGATTCAATCAAAGCTGCAACGGCGGGATGCAAACCCGCTGCAATAGCCTTCCTGGTCCAATCTCCCATCAGAAGCATCTCATAGTCCTCGCCATTATCAGGCAACCGGTCCAGGGGCAGTACAAAATCACCAACATTGTTAGTATAGGTAACTTTGCGTTGAGACGGCTCATCGTCTTCCACTAAGGGGCGGATGATATCCGCGCAGATGGACCAGACGTAGACGAAATTGAAAGCGCCACGCGTGTGCTCGACCTGAGGGACAGCCTTGATGCGGTGCGCGTAGCGTAGGAGCGAGTTGACCCAGTCAAACTCGGCCTCGGCCGTTTCGTCGTCCGTGTCCTCTCGGAGGATAGTTGACGGACGATGGATGAAAAACGGTAGCCCGTACATCTCACTCGCGCGTTCCAACATGCATTCGCTGGCCCATTTCCCGCACCCGTAGCCGTGGGCACCGTCCGGAGCTGGGCGGGGCCGGCGCCAGCCCTCGCTACCGAGGACTCGGGGAAGTCAAATGGATCGGTTCGCCCTTGGCCTTCGAACAGGGCTATGCCGGCTGATGAGACGTAAAGGAACGGAATTCCACGCGGCAGACACAGGCGTAAGAGTTGATACGTGGACCCGACGTTGGCATCGCGGACAGAATGGTAATACTTGAAATGCGACGTGTCGGAGCCGTCATGGATCACCGCCTCTACTTCATCGAAAATGGCGTCTACAGCCTGTTGAGAGAGCCCTAGAAGGGGTTGTCGCAAGTCTCCCTCATAATAGCCCAGTCGTCCGCTGGGTGGTGGTAGTTTTCTGGTCTCCAGTCGTTCGGTCAGCCTCCGCACGGCCACACATATGATCTTGCTCGCCGGTAACGTCTCGAGTAGCGTGTCGAGTAAGTGATGCCCTAGCAGTCCAGTGCTGCCAGTAACGAGAATCCCCTTGGGTGAATTGCTGCGCGGCGTGCTGGAAGTGAGCTGAGTCGAATTGTCTGGCGGGCAAGACTCTGCTTCCCAATCAATATTGTCCATGGTGGTCTTGTCGGGTTTAGAACCATCCATCGACCTGTCATTGATAACCGTCAATGATCCAGTTGAGACAGAACCAGCCGTTCCAGTTTCCTCTGGTGCAGCTTGACTGCTTTGGCTGCTGGAATCTACCACGCTGTCCTTTGGTTGGTTCTCCTTCTCACCTTGTGTTACCCTTGGAATTGGCTCTTCCGGGATGCTTTCAGCTGCAAACTCGACCAAATGCATCATACCCTGATTGCCCATGATTTTCAATACAGGGATGCCGACCTGGAAATTCTTAAGAAACCAAGTTCGGATGTCCACCGATATAAGAGAATCGAACCCAAGTTCCTGACTGCGAGCGGACAACAACTCATCATCTAATGCCGATGTCAAGAGAACTTTGCTCAGCTGAGCGACGCAACATTCTCAATAAAATTCAGTGTTTTCTTCAAAGGCTACATAGTTGCAGAGGGGGAAAAAGAAAAAGGCTCAGCTGATCGACAGACCACGAGATAGAAGACATACCTTTTATAACCTTGACAACATCCTGTCGGGAACGACATCCTTGACGTTGATTTGGATAGTCGTCGCTGCTGTCTGTTCTTTTGTGTCCCTGTTGCTAGCGGTCTTATGGAAGACAAAATGTGAGAATTTGGGATGGGAGAACCATTTCGGAGTTGCAGTCGACTTTGGCACAATGTCGAGGAGCCCCGTTGATATCTCCGGCCCATCAGGAGAGTCCAGATTGCCGGTTTCTACCGCTTCCGCAAACATCTGGTGGAGGTCTTCCTCCGATAGCGGCATTATGGCTACTTTGTGCACTGTGGCACGGAGCGTGCTATCCCTCTGCCTCTGGAGGTAGCCAGCGCCGATGATAGCTCCTACGTTGGCAACGGACGATGCCAGGCCACGCTTCCTTCGATTAGAAGCGATGCCGCATAGGCCCAAGTAAGCCGCCCCGTAGTTAGCCTGCCCCGTATTTCCAAAAATATACGTGATGGATGAAAGGAGGACGAAGAAGTCGAGGTTGTTATCGTGGAAGATTCGATCAAGGTTCTCACTTCCTAAGACTTTCGGATAGATGACATCTGGTAGTTGCTCAAACGTCATGTTTGCAATTGAGACATCTCTCAACACCATTGCCCCGTTCAAAACCCCGACTATTTGCGGCAAAGCTATAATAATCTGTTGGGGAACGACTTTAAGAGATTTTTCGTTTGTTACGTCATTAAAATGAGCGTTAGTGTGATTTTGAGGAAATATATTATCATCTCTGCATACTTACTATGACATGAGCTTGATAGTAACTCTATTACGTTCGTGATCTTCTACCTAAGCACGGTCGATCTTCGGGTTCCTGCTGGTGATGATAAGATACTTACTTCCCCTCTCGATCATCTAGTCGTAAATCGAGATGCCCCACGGACCAGACATCCCACATACCTAATAGGTCTTGTCGCTTTTGAAAAGGGGCTTACTGTCGAGTCTGGTGACCCAAGCTGGCAACGATATCGCACTCGTCCAATTAATAATCGTCATAGGATCATCTGGCCAGCTGTTGCAACCAAATCTTTCGAGGCTAGCCACTGAAAGCTCGAATTGGGCATCTTGGCTTTGTCTGAGGGTGGAGCCTTTTGCGAAAGCAACAACATTTTTCAGGATCAGGCCGAGAATGCCAGCCGAGGTGACGGTGCAATCAACAGCATGTGAGCCAAAGAGAGTCTCGGCAGTTTCTCTGCGGCAGTGCAACGGAAGACTGGAGAGGACAAAGCGCTCGTTCTCTGCCAGAGAGAGAGGCAAAGCAAGCTATGCTGTCGGGAAAGATTTCTTTGAGTTGTGAACGACTCAGGTATGGTGCCAATGCGACATGATCCGGTCCTATGCGCCATGAAGCACCTTCAGGGTGATCATTTGTGCGTAGCACGCTTATGTTCTTGGCAAGAGCCTGTGCATCGATAGCTTGCGAGATGAGGTTTGGGAAGTTGTGAACCGCTGCTCGATGTCTAGCAACGAGAGGATCAAGAATCGCGAGAGCGACAAGCTGAGAAGCGGAATTACCGAGGAAGGCAATGGCATCTTGGAAGTCCGCCAAGTTGTAGGGTGCAGTCGAGGTCTTGGGAATGATTAAGCGTGACGTCACGGAGGAAGCGAGAGCTAGATGATGAGCGCCCCACGAGTCCACACCTAGAATTATTAGGAATTGATGTCCGATAGGTGTTCTGATAGTGGACAAGACGCTATGGGTGACTCGCAACTCCACCATTGTTGTGTCTTTCCCCTGCTTGAAAGCATCATAAAGTTCAAACCTCGACAGTTGTCTGACAGGGGAGCCACCATAGGGGTCTGGCTGTAATTCAACAACCGACTTGTCCATGTCAATCTGGTGGGTGATAGGGTGCTGAGCAGAGTTATAACGATCATTCATGGCACGGATGCCATGCAGCCGGGGCACATGCTGTCGGCCTTCGGCATCCATAATGATCTCGGGTTCAATGGTGGTCACCACTGTACTCCCATCATCAACGTGGGTTTCATGCAAACGAAGGAGGGTTTCGGCTATCATCCGAGGTTCGTAGTTCCCGACATCCGGGATATCCAGAAATTGAAGGCGGAGATCGGGTATCTCCTGCACCGCGGACCGGCCGAACCCCACCGTCATGTTCGACCACGGATTATCTTCCAGTCGACCACGAGTGACCCAAAGGAGAGTTTTCTCCTGTTCAAACATGCCCCTAAAGCCATACCATCAGTCCGGTGTGAGATTTTTGAATATCGGTGCGTCGAGCTCCGTCAAACTCACGACCACGGAACCAGGAGTGACGATATCATAATCGACTTGCTCGAGTGATGTGTATACAATAATCTCATTGGCTTCGTGGTGTAATAGCTCCTCGAGTTGTCGGATCACGGTGCTGACTGAATTCGTCTTACCCCCTACAATTACCAACTTTTCAAGTCCAGACCCGGCAGAAAGCGGTTCGCGAAGAAGCGTGATCCGGTTTTCAATGGCCTGTGACACAAAGAGGATGATGCCCAGGCTCTCTTGATACTCTGGTGGCGAGATTGTATCTATTCCCGAGAAGCCAGTGTTTTTGAGAATGCGTTCCCATTCATCAATGTTGACTAATGGCGTCAAGATACGGCCTTCATCAACTCCAAGCCACCAGCCTGGGAGGGAAGCGAAGATAAAACTATCTCTAGCTAGAAGCAGGCCGTCACTGCTACCCTCAGCGACAACCAGAAGACCGCCGGGCTTCATGAGCCTTCTAAGGTTGTGCATCGTGTTTTCCAGCCTGGTCGTGGCGTGTAAGACAAATGATGCAACCAAGAGGTCGAATGAACCTTCGGAAAACCCTTGTTGAGTAGGACTCTTCTCAGCATCCAAGACCTTGAAATCCATATGCTCTTTCCATTTGGAGAACAAATCACCAGCGTTCTCAAAAAAGCTGGATGATACGTCGGTGTACGTGTATCTGTTGAAACTTTGGTCTATGGCGTTAAGGATATGCTTCGTAGCACTCCCGGTGCCAGCACCTATTGAATGCGAAAAGAACGATCAGTGAGTGCGCAGGAGGAGAAGTGGTGCTACTACCAATCTCTAGGATGTCCACATGCGGATGGCGGTCAGTTATCTGTTTGACAACCTGACCGAGCCATCGGCAAGACTGGAACATGCCGAAACCATCAGCATAGTATTGATCTAACAGGCCCGATGAGCGCAGATGCTCTATCGCCGAAGTCTCCCCGGGAAAGACCTGGGGCATTTTTTCGCCTACAATGAACATAAGCTGCACGTCGGGGTTGTTCGATAGTCTGGCAAGAGTTAACTGTGTTAGATGTGAACGGATTTCGGGGGGTGAGGTGTAGAACGGTGAAATATTTGTCACATACCCTTTGATGTCGAGCTCCTTCTTAATCACAGCAGCAGTGTCATGAATCCAGTCTAGCTTGCCGTATTTGTGAGTACCCGCACGGAGCGATGCTGTCATGTGTCGAGCATAGGCAAGATAGTAGCGGAGGTATCCGTCGGACCTCACTGGTGAGTCCTCCGGGACTTCCTCGTCAAATTTTCTGAGGTAGTAAGCCGCAATCCGACTCAGCGCCCACGTCAGGTCATTATCTTGTTGCGTGACAGGAAAGTCCTTTGCTGCGATAGTCCCGTCAGGCTTGCTCAGAACCCAATGCAGCCTATAGAACACATTCCTATCTTCGTTGATGGCGCCGGCAAAAGGAACGAAGCTGATGCCATCTGCTTGGATAGCTGCAGATTGACGGCCTTCGCTATAGATTCTCACGTGGCCCGAAAAACCAAGACCTTGTTTTGACCGGTCTTCTCGTCTACAAAACAAGTCTGTTTCGAGCTGGGGCCTTTGAGACGTGCATAGGGCGGGGTTCAATCTAGGCGTTCTGATTCCTGTTGGTAGGTGCAATGTGCGTAATTGGCAATCTCCTGGGTAGCTATAGGCGAGCATAACCGATTGGAATGCGGCATCTAATTCTGCAGGATGAGCGAGTAGTGACTCGGGATCTTCAGCCGGTGCTTTGGTTAAACTGCAACATGCTTTGCCTAGCTTCCTTCTGAGCGTTTCCAGGGAACGGAACCGACCGGAGAAGTTATATCCCAGACTTGTCATGAAATCGTACAGTCGCCATGGCTCAACGTCTATCAGATGGGTCGGTGTTGCTTCACGTTTGGGAAGCAGGTCGAGCAATGGAGTTCCTAGCAGGACAACTACCTCTGCTTCAGCTGTAAGGGATAAATCTGCATCTTGACCTCCCACGTTGGCTGAGTACGTGAACCTGGCTTCGATCCGGTTGGTCTGAACTGTGGAAATATTTGAAAGTTCTATCAAGACATCAATTTCGGTGTCGCCTGCGTCGAACATGATGGCTTGATGAATCCTAAAATTGCGCAGTTCTATAAGCCGAATTGGCTACTCACTGTTTGCCAGAGAGCGGGCAGCTTCAAACACGGTAAAGGCGTATCCAGCGGCTGGAAAAACGACTTGGTTCTGGAGCTTATGGCCCTCCAACCAATCTATCTCATTGGGCTTCAAAACGTTCTTCCACCACAGGTTATGAGGCGCACTGTCTGGGCTGACATGTCCGAGCAGTGAATGGGAGGTTTGCTGTCGTTGGCTTATATGCCTGGATGTTCGAGACTCATGCCAGTACTTAGTCTCGTGCTTCCACTGGTAAGTTGGAAGACCTTTGATGAGATTGAGACGTTCTTTCTTTGTCTCTTTGCCACCCACGGCCGTGTTGTAGGTATCCAAGTCAACTGCTCCAACATCAAGATGAGACCACACAAAGCCAAGACTGGCAGAGACGGATTGGATAGCATCTGCGCCATGAAAGAGCGTTCCGTGGTAAACGATGGACTCTCCTAGCGTTTCGTCGATTGTTTGTGAAGCAGGTCCTTTGAGAGCCGGATGAGCGCCGAATTCGAGGACGGCGCGATACTCTGTGCTCGCGGATAGGGCACTCCCAAGTGCTGCGGAGAACAAGACCGAACTCGTCATATTCTCGGCCCAATACAAGTTACTCAAGACAACATCCGAAGAGCTAACAGGTTGGCCATCGTAGACAATAGAAAACCAACTGCACTGAGACGAATGTGACTGAGTTGTGACGCCTGCCTGCTGCATCGCCTCGACGTACCGGACGACACATGGGAGCATATGTTTGGAATGATACGCTTGATCGACCTTGAGGAGCCGATTGAACTTTTTCTCGTCATCCAAAATGACCTGTAGTTCCTCAATGGCGTCCTTGTCCCCTGAGATGGTTACGCTCGATGACGAGTTGACAGCGGCGATGCTGACACGACCTGCGAATTCTTCCATCTCACTCAGTGCCGTTGCATCCTCAAAAGTGGTTCCGACAGCCAGCATGGAACCCTTGATGGGGCCGTTGGGGCTTGCTGCGTATTGACAATGCAACCCGCGGTAATAGGCAACGCAAATGGCGTCGCGAGCTGAAAGATAGCCAGCGGCATATGCTGCGGCAATTTCGCCAGATGAATGTCCAATGACTGCATCAAACTCCACATGGGCCGCCCGCAAAAGATCAACCAGCATAATTTGAATAGCCGTACACAATGGTTGTGAAATGGCGGCCTCGTGTACGCGAGAAACTCCATCTCCAAAGAGCAGCTCAGACTGGAGCGACCATTTTGGGGCATCTTTGAGTTAAGAGAGATTGTACTCAAGTTTATGTATGATCTGCCTGGCGAACGGGGATTTTTCAATCATTTCAGACCCCATGCCAGCATATTGAGCTCCTTGACCGTTGAAGATTGCGAGTATTATGGACTTTCTTTGCGCCCTGGTACCGAGGGGACTTGCACCATCGTCATTGTCAAGTTTGGCGGTAATCTGAGATCTGAGATCCTCAGATGATGTTGCTGGGAACGAAATCCGGTATTTCAGGGCCGATCGCCTTTGCCGTAGTGTGTAAGAAAAATCCAGGGCAAGGGTCGCCGGATGTTCTTCCAGATACGCAGCATAAGCTAAAAATTTCGCTCGGAGGGAATGCTCGGACGAAGTAGAAAACGGGAAAGGAGTAGATAAACAATTCATAGAGGCCTCGCCAGCTGCGATGTCGGCCGCAAAGTCACGCGAGACGCTGTTCTCGTAGCTTTCCAGGATGGCGTGAGCTATGATATCGTCAGTTTCCCACGCTATGGTAGCCTCGGTCATTTGGAGACTTACCGTTGGTGCCTCCGAAACCGAAACTGTAACACTAGCTCGTTTGGGTTGTCCCGGGGCGACTTGCGGCCACGGTTTGGCTGTTTTTAGGATCTCGAGATTCTTATAGAGCGGTGCTACATCAGGGCTCAGATTATCGAAAAGAAGATTTGGCGGGAGATAGGCATTTTGGAGGGCCAGAGATGCTTTAAGAATAGCTGAAATGCCTGCGGTGCCTTCTGTATGTCCATGTGTCGTCTGTGATAGTTATGTTGGGTTAGACTATCATACAAGATACAGGGATAAGGCAAGGCTTACCTTTATCGATCCGATACCTTTATCGATCCGACATACAACGGCTCCTGAGATCTGTCGGGGGCTTCATTCCCAAAGAAGGACTTGCTGGTGGCCTCGGCTTCGGCAGGATCTCCCGCTGGCGTTCCCCTGCCGTGGGCCTCAAGAACTGAGGACGATGGACTGTAGCATCAAGACCTGCTCTGGCGTGTGTACTCCGAATCAGGTCTGCCTGTGCAGCGGCGCTGGGCATGGTAATGCCAGGAGTAGCGCCATTTTGATTGACTGCGGTCTGCTTGATCAGACACTCAATATGGTCACCATCAGCAAGCGCCTTGCTGAGAAGCTTGAGAACCACTGCTGCCACCCCTTCTCCTCGAGCGTACCCATTAGCATCCCTATCCCACATCTTCCCCACACCGTCAGAGGAAAGCATCTTCAGCTTGCTCTCAAGAATGTAGTTCTCGGGTCCGAGAATGACATTGGAGCCACATACTAGCACCATTGCCGTCTCTCCTGCGCGAAGTGCGTGGACTCCATGATGCATAGCAACGAGACTGGAAGAACACGCCGTATCAATGGTGACAGAAGGGCCGTGCCAGTCAAAGAAGTACGACACTCGGTTGGATAGTATCGCTCTCGATGTTCCCACGGCCGATTATGTGAGAATAGAATTTAGATCTCGAAGATTCATAGCCTCGAAATCACCACACATGACTCCAGCCTACACACTGGTATCACTTCCTTTGAGTCCCTCGATAGTCATGCCACCAGCTTCGATAGCCTCATACACCGTTTCCATGAGGATGCGTTGCTGCGGATCCATAGCTTTCGTCTCCATAGGTTTAATGTTGAAGAATTCTGCATCGAAAGCTCTGACATCTTCCTCCATAAAGTACGAATATTCGCATTACATTGCTATGCCCATGGTATGCTTGGGAATGGTGATAGAATGACTTGGCATTGAAACGACTGCTTTGGATCTCAGAGCGGATGTCTCGTGGATCGCGTAGGAGCTCCCACAGCTTCGAAGGTGAAGTGGCATCACCGGCAAGATGGCAAGCGCTGCCGACGATAGCGATCGGCTCGCCTTGGCCTGCATGGAGATACATGAGGTCTGTATACGGATTTGACACACAATGAGGTCGGAAAATAAAGCTAGAAGCTCTTCGTAAGTCAGAGATAATGATGGATGAGATGTTCTTATAGCTTTTCGACAGGATCCCGAGGACAGAGTAGCTCTATAAGTCTGGAACTGAGTCAAACCCTCAGCAAGTTGTTCCGAGTCTGATGTCTATTATGAAAGTCCATGCCGCTAGAGACGATAGAGTTAAGCGACTGCCCTTGTCCGAACTGCTCGGATCAAGGTCGGGAAACCTTATTGTGGGCTCGGAGACGATTTACAGACGTCTGGACAGATTACGAGGTCCGAGAACCTTGACGATTACGGAGTACTCCGAGATAATTGACTGAGGAAAGGCCACCAGGTCCGAAAGAACAGCGAATGCAACGAACGGAGGCTAATGCTAGCATGAATTTTAGGTAATTCCGCGGAAGGCAAGACGGTGAACTTGGGTTTGTCGTTTTCGAAATCATTAAACGGTAGAGCATTTCATGTTTTTCATGGTGTGCGAAACCTCAACACTATATTGAAGGGACACATGTGTAAATAATTATGGTCCGGTCTAAGCTTTGCTCAACGGCTGTGATGATTACAGTGTGAAGTAGGACCGAATGAACCAAGGAAAATCTGTTTTCATCGTCAAATACTACATTACTATCGACCCAGATCTCCCTGTATCTCTGGCTCGATCTATCTAATGCTAGCGATGGTGCAGAGCCTCCGCACGACTGGCTCTTCTTGACAGGCTGATATATAATGGCGACTTCTCCCAAGAGAGGTAGGATCGTTGTTCAGCGTTCTTCAATATTTATATTGAAGTTGAAAAGTAGGCGGGCAAGAATTAGGCGAAACTCAGCATATGCCAGGCTGCATTCATCAGCTCCGCCCAGGTCGCATCAGTCGTCCAGGTTGACTTACTTCATACCGAGGCAATTACGCGGTCCAACTCCGAATGGGTTGAAACAGTCTCGTCAATCAGATGCGAACTCGGGATCGTTCATCCAACGCTCTGGGATGAATTCATGGGCACGCTTGAAGTTTGCCTCGGTATAGTACATTGCATGATGTGGGATGCCGACCACAATCTGACGATTCAAATTGAAAAGTGGTTAGCAGGGCACATCTTGGATCCCTCCTTGGGACGTGGAAAAATCAAAGCAGCCCTTCCACTCACATTTCCTGGAATATGATCGCCAAGAATGACGTTTCCTTCTGAGGGTGTACTGCGTGGTTGTGTGTTCGTCCCGGGAGGAAAAGTGCGGAGCGACTCCTCCGTCACGGCACATAAATATGGAAGTCCGCCAGCACTGACTAGTGTAATTTCGCCTTCATTCTTGAAGGTTGCTATGATCTCGTCTACGAGTTTGGCCATTACCCTTGGATTTGTCGTGAGTTGGTACACTGCACCACCAAGTAGACTTGCTGTCGTTTCAGAGCCGGCCATGGTAATAAATTCACCGTTATTCTCGAGCTGTTCCCGACCAAGACGCTAAAAAGCCTACTTGTTAGTCCTCTGTTGTAGTTGAATAGCACTACACTAGAGGAGTTCTCGTACCCAATCACCTGTGCCGGTAATGAGGCCCTGGAAGAAATTCGGTCGGGGATCCTTGAGGGCAAGGCGTTTTCCAATTTTCTCTCGAGTCAGTCTCTTGTGCTCGAGGGCCTGTTGTTGCATTTCCGCGGGACAAAAAAGGGCAGGACAAGATGAAGGAGAGGAAAATGATTAAGTGCTATACCCAAAGACATGAACCTAATGTTCGCGAATAAAAGGTCCAAGGGTGTAGAGCTGAATCACGCAAGCATCTGAAGGGCTCGCCCAGAGCTAGGTCGCCTATGGTGTCAAAAGAACAGTACATGACCCAGGCACTGAGATCCACAACTGGTTCTCGAATGTCTGCATACTCACCAAGTCTTTTCATAACTAAATCGATATGTTTCCTTATCATAGGTTCCTGGTGACGCATCGCGACGGACGAGAATCCCTGTGACAGTAGACGGCGGATCCGTGTGTGTTCTTCACGGGGTGCTGTGAGGAGATTCTTGTCCTTTGGGTTACAGAACCATGGAGCTCTGAGATTTTCGGCCCGCCCCTTACGATAGCCCCATATTGGCTCCCAAGCTTCTGGAACAACGTATGGAAGCTCATTAGGACTGATTCGAATGATAGGCCCATATTTATTATGAAGCTCCAAGAGCTTGTAGTGAGATTTTTCCAGAGACGAACATCAAAGTCCATGGAATAATGGAGGCTTTCCAAAGTGCCGGGTCAGGATATTTTCATAATGGATGAAAAAAGATATTGTAGGTAGGGAGCAATAGGAGGTAATACGTAGGAATCTTGTGCGCTGGTCAACACTGAACGTTCCAAAAATGATCCAAGAGACCTACCAGTACGACCAGAATGGAGCCCAGTTCCATTAAAAGTGCTTTGGCTGTTATTGCGACCATCTTTGCAAGATGAAAAGACATGAAGGAGATAACTAAACACTGAATGGGTTGTGGCAATTCACCTATTACAAATGTATGTTGTCGGGCCTAATCAGCTTCAAGCGGTGCCTTTTGGCAACTGAAGTATTGCCAAAAAGTTTTGCTACTGTACGACTGCCGACAGTCGGCATGATGCTTTTTTCATGAAAGCTATCTGTGCGCTTATACTCAGGGGTTCACAGGTAATAAACTCTGAACTCCGAAAGCCTGCTATTCCGGCAAATGCCACTGTCCCTGAATGCTTCCCGGTCCGATAGGGTATGGCTCTGATTGGACGTCACTCCGAGACCTCGGGTGAACACGGATATGCTGTAGTACCAATAAACCTTGAGTTGATTTCAGCTCACATTCCCAGTAATGCCAAAATACACTTTTCGGTCTGGTTGGGACTGCGTCCTAACGCTGTTAGGAACTAGTCAACAATATTGGCTGGTAATATCACGGCATCAACCTATTCGGCGTGGCGAATTCTATAGTAGGATACCGGAACCGAGCTCAGGGCAGCCGCGATCACCGGGATCTCCGAGCCGATTCTTCAGCCGTTGTGGCGCGAGGGCGTGTAGCAGAATGGGTCCTACTGTAGATAATCAGATAGATTGCCCAAGACGTAGCTTGTGGCGCTTGAGCAGATGTGTACACTTATAAAGTGGCAGTACAGACTCCCAGTCTACAACTCCATTTTCAACTCCACAGCACCATTGCCTCAGATGTCCCCTAAAACTCAGACAGCCGTTTTATAATGCGCATCTGCAGCATCAGACGGAGGACTTCCCCTCGTCATTTCTTTTTCAGCGCCCGCAGTAACAGATTTGCCATCACCCCATCACGTTCTCGTGCGTGTCAAGGCAGTGGGCCTCAACCCAGTCGATCACAAGATGATCACGCACTTCTTCATGGACGGCTATCCTACCGGCTGCGACTTTTGTGGCGTCGTGGAATCAGCGGGATCATGCGCTGCTGTCTCGGTGGGTGATCGAGTCTGCGGCGGAGAGTTCCCCTACCATTCAGATAACCAGAGCAACGGCGCGTTCGCGCAGTGGAAAATTGCAGATTCACGCTCAATGCTGGTGATTCCGACTGGATGGAGCGAAACAGAAGGTGCCGCAGTCGGGGGTATCAGTTGGGGCATGGTAGCGATGGCCGCCTCGGATCCAGAAGCTCTTGGTCTCACCGGTACGCCATCGAAGCCCGTAACGAAGCCCGGTTCTATCTTGGTATACGGTGGTGGCACAGTCACTGCTAAAATGGTCATGCAGATATTCAAAATGTAAGCTGGCAACTCCTCGCTGTTCCCTCCCTGGTTTTGGGCGTGTGTCGATCACGAACCGAGGAATACTGATGAGATGCTGCTTTGTGTCCAAGGTCGGGCTACTCCCCTATCGCCGTATGTTCACCTGCTTCTGCACACTTGGCACTGAAATATGGTACTGTTGGGACGGCATCGTATACGTCGGCAAATTGCGTAGAGACAATCTTGTCAATCGCCGGTGGTGTACCTGTTAAGTATGCGCTTGACTGCATCACGGATGCTGATTCAGCCACCATCTGCTTCAGCGCTCTATCGAGAGCGGGGGGTCACTACGTCTTCCTGGAGAGGTTCGACGAGCGCTGGCGAACGCGACGCGCGGTCAAAGTGAAGGAGGTGATGGGCTTCGAAATGCAGGGCATCGATGTCGATCTGGGCGACCCTGTATACTCACGTGCTGCTGATCCAGTCAGAAAAGCAGACTGCGCCAGATGAACGAAGGAGGTACAGTCATTAATCAACTAGGGTTTGCTAAAGCCTCCGCCCATCTGTGAGATGGAGCAGCGCTGGGAAGGAATTTTAGATGGACTGGCTATGTTACAAAGAGGTGAAGTCAAAGGTCAAAAGTTAGTTATTAGGCTTCCTGCTTAATCTGACTAGAATATTTGCGGCAAGCTGATCCTGCTCTGAGTAATTCAATATTTTATGAGGTATCAGCACTTCAGATTCTGTCAGGAGTAAAACTGCGAAGCGCTTTAGGATTCTCGTGTTCAATGAACCTTAGGCAAGTCGCTGGTATTTGTATGTATCTTTTATCCTGACCCAAAGCTTCACAGCGGGCGCTAAGTTTGATCACGGTCCAGGTTTCCCCGAAAAACACAAGGCAAGGAGTAACAGGGATGTTGTTTAGACTCTCGCCGTACAGCTTGCGCGCTGCTAAGAAAATGAGATTTAAGATATCATAAGCTGGAAGGGCGGTGCGAAGCAGTCGACGTCATATTCTCGTCTGCAATCCAGGAATGAATCGAAGGGTGCCCAACAAGCAGCGACGGGTTGATAGCGGGAAAAGGACGCTATCTGGGCCTTGACATAGAATAAGCCTGCGTGATTAAGTTCACGACATTCATTCATATCAGTATCCCAGCAAGTTATCAACCGTGGAGCCACAACACTAGAACAGAGTTACCTGTACCGCAACCTGCCTCACGTGGAGAACCGAGCATGGAGTAAACTGGGAGTCAATGCCTTCTATTCTTGGCTATGACGTTGACTTTCTACATCTAGATCTGCAAAAGTTCCAGGCTCGCGCTTCCAGATGCATTCGTGCTCGAAGCCAAACCGGTCAATGAAACATCAAGGCAAGTCGTAGAAGTTCGATGAAAAAGAGGATGTGGACAATGCACCCATGTAACGTACGATAGCTATCACAGTGCTATGACCCTGCTGGCCAAGACGTGGGAACCAGCCAAACGTTGATACCGATCAGCCATTGAATCCGCAATGGCTCGTATTTAGATTACCTACGCTTGCCCCCCCCCCCCCCCCCCTCACCCCCCACCCCTCGGCCCCCCCCGCCTCCCCGCGCCCCTGCGCCCCCTCTTTCTTTTCCCCCCCTCACCCCCACCGACACAACTGCCTCTGTTTGCACCCCCCCCCCCCCCTGCATGACCCCTCACCCTGCGGCCCGTCCCGGCTGCACGTGCCTCTGTGCACGACTATTGATCTGCTCCCATAACCCCAGATGGCAATTTAGTCTGGATTGCAACCAGCTTCTTCGATGGGATCTACTGAAGAAGACCTTGAAAGTATCCTCAAAGGAATTGTGTTTTATAACCCTTATTGTGAGACCGTCATCATTGTCAAGAAAAGATGGCAACCCAGCCATCACCAATCAGAGACCGTCTTCTTAGCGAAGATAACAACGTCGATGCAATAGCTGAACTTGGCCAGCGCCTCAGAAAGGCTCGCCGGGATCCTTGTACACGCATTGCCAGCACAAATTGTCGCAGTAAAAAGGTGAGTGATTATTACGAATATATCGTCAGACATGGAACCATTAGGTTTCCGTGCAATTTCTTATACGACTGCCCACCCCCTCTTCCATATGGCTGACTTGGTTACAATATTCCATGCTAGTACAAGGAGTTCATCACAGCTAAAGTGCACGGGTGAACAAGAAGGCTGTCAACGTTGTCACTTTAAGGGACATGACTGTTTCTACGATGGCACAGGGTCTCGTTCTTCACCAATGGTCAACATGGAAAGAGTAGCGTCGTCTTCTCAGCGTCCAATATATCCTTCGCCACGAAGCACGTCGCGCGACATTCAAACGGAAAGTTTTAATTTTGCTTCCAGCGAAATGCATTGCCTGAACTTCGAACCTCGAGATTCCTCAACCGGTTCCCAGGCTCTAGATGCTTTACCCATGGAAGGGTTTGACGACTTCTTTTCCAGCTATATGTAGATCCGATTTTGAGGCAAGAGTAAACTACGAGGAGATTCCGTTGAAATACGTCTCGTGCATATTTATAGACATTCAGGAACCAGCAACATCATATTGCAACGATGCGATTGAGATTGATTCTGACCTTGCCACATCTTTCCTGTCAACAAGGCCCAGTTGTACTAGTTACGAGGGTACAGCTCAAAGTACGGGAGATATCTACCACTCTGGATCGGACCGCTCAAGAAATGGCGAGTGCGCGTGTTAGCGGAAAGAGATGCTGACACATGAGGATGTCTGCATCAATGTGCTTTGGAGGATGCGCAAGATCACCAAATCCCAATTGGAGGAAGCCCGAGATAGTGAGATCACTACATCAACGGTTGCTGAAATATTGCAATGCATCAAAAGAACAACGAGGAGCAACGAAGAGCTTCTTGGTTGCCACATTAGCTGCCAAAGCTTCATCATTCTAATCATTACGATATGCGAAATAATGCTTCATGGACTGGAAGGTTTGCTCCAGCAGCTTCACCACGACAATTCAAGTGGCGGCACGAAACACGACAAGCACAATTCTCACATCTACCGACGTTTCATCAGAGTCCCTGGATATTTAACAAAGAAGACGAGCTGCGAGTTATTCATAGCCTAACAGTTGCGCGGATAGACAATTTGAGTAGCTTCATTAGGAAGCTACGAGACGTTAGATATAGAAATCAACAGCAGGTCTGTAAAGAGACAGTTATCGACCTGTATAGGCGACTTTTAAGACTATACTCTAGACTGGCTAGTAATAGTTATATTGAAAGATAGATTTAAAATTACAACAAACATAGAATTATATTTCTCTAAATTCTTATAAAGAAAAGTATTAAAAATAATACATAGTCTAATAAACAAGTATTATAAAATATTATTTAAATAAAATATAAGTTTTTTAACTATTTTAGGTTTTTTTAATTATTATATAATCCTTTGTAAAATACTAAAAATTAATTTTACTTAAAGTTTAAGCTTAATATTATATTTAATTAATTCTTTTAATATGTTTATTTTATACCGCTAATAAAAGTATTATTTTAGGCTATAATATAAAATATATATTATATAACGTATTTATATAACGAGCAAGCTATTATAACAAACGGGCTATTTTTATTACTATTCATATTTCTTTTTTTTATAATAACTTTTTTTTATATATAATAATAGTTTTTTTTTTTTTAAAAAAAAGCCGTATTGTTTTTATATTTTAAACTATAAAAAGAAATTTGAAATTATTTATATAAAAAGCCGTTATTATAATATTCCTAAAATAATATTTTAATACCGACGTATCGGACGACTATTATAATAAAAGATTCATATAAATTTAATTAAAATAACTTTTTAAAAAGAAATTATAATTCTTAAATAAGTTTTTAATTTAATTAATTAAAAATTTTTATTACGGCTTAATAATATATAAAATATAATCAGTTACTTTTTTAATAAATACGATATAATATATATTAAATTATAATAAATAAAAGACTTTAAACGATATCAATTATCACTTAAAATACGTTTTTAATATAAAATTAATTATTAAAAAATATTAATTAAAGATTTTATGATTATTTTAATTTAGTTAGTTTCGTATGAAATATAATTATAAAATGTAAAGTATATAATAATAATATTTATAATTTTAATAAAATAGGCTTTTTAATAAAAATATTTTTATATATAAAAATTATTATAACTTTTAATTATTATAAAAGGCTTTGTACGAAATAGCTTAATAATATTATAGCTAACTAATTATAATAAAAGTTTATATTAACAAAAATCGGGGCTATAATACTTATAAACAATAATCGTTATTAAAATAGCTTTAAAAAAGCTATTATTTACAAATTATAAAATAAATAAAGCTTCGATAATTAATCGTAATCTTATCAAATAAGTTTTTAATAAAAATAATTAAAAACGATTATAAAATTTAATACGAAATTAATTATTAAAAAAGTTATAAAAGTCTAAATTTAAATTTAGTTTAAATTTATATTATATATAAATCCTATATATTATTTAAGAATTCTTTTATATTTTAAACCGATATTATAAAATCGGTTTTTTAAAAATAAACTTACTTTTATTTTATTAATCTATATTTAAAAACTATTTATCGTCCGTCGGTTCTTTTTATTATTATATAACTTTTTTATAATTTTTCTAATTTATTAAAATAATATATATATATTTATTAATTAATTATATATATAATAAAATAACCGCCGTAAAATAATAAGGTAAGTTTTTAATTTATTATATATATTAAATTATAATATTAAATTTCTTTTTTAGAAAGTCTAATTTTATAAACTTATAAATAAATAATTATAACCTAAGTTAAGGCTTATTAAGTTATTAATTCGTTATGTTTTATAATATTAATATTATATTAAATTGTATAAAAAAATTAAATATTAAAATAAAGTTTAAAAAAATCAAAATAAAAGATCGTAAGCGTTTAATATTTTTAAAATTTATTAAAACCTATTTAATTAATATCGATATATTTTAAACTTATTATTTTTGTATTAAATTTATATATTAATTTAATAAAAAGTCTTTTTATTATCGGATTTACGTAAAAATAAAAAAATTTTATAACGGGGTATTGATAATATTAATTTGTAAATTAATTTTTATTTGTTATTATATTTATGTGTTGTAAGCTAGGAGCGTAGAAACGTAGTTCTCATAGTCTAAAGTGTTTATCTTTCTGAGAGGATATTCTATAAACTAATTAAATAAATATACCGTTTAAGGGCGCTTAGGAAGTAAATTAATAAGCGTATTTAAATAAATATTACCTTAACTATACGTAGCTATACGCTAGACCTTTTATACCCTTCTAATTATAAAGCTATTTATAATTAAATCGCGTATATAAATCCTTTTTGTATTTTTTTTTAAATAAATATAAAAATAATTAATAAAAAAAAATAAGTTTAATAAAAAGAACTCATTAAGAATAATAATTTTATATTATTTTAAAAAT